TTAAAAATCGGTTGTCACATTTTAGAATTTTTCAGGAGGGAAGAAATAGTAAAATAACCAGTCTTCATTGACTTTTATATTGATCATTATACTTCTACATATTCATATGTATAACCATATCAATTTTCTAATTTATTAGTCCTTGATTAGATAAACTGGGTAGCCTTAATTAAATTGTATTTTATTTAAGAATTTTTAAATAAAATAAAATATCAAGCGCCTCTAATTGGTTGGCACCCCTAGACAGGAAATAATGTTTTGATGCAATTGAGTCGTCTGGCTGGGTGACTCTAACTTATTTACTTAACATCAAAATTATTTACTTAACATCAAAATTATTTACTTAACATCAAAATTTAATTATAAAATTAACTAAAATTAACTTAAATTTAATTATAAAATTAAAACTTTATAATTAAATTTAAATTAAGTCTTATAATTATTATAATTATAATAATTATAAGATTTTGATTTAATTATAATTATTCAATTATAGTTAAATTTAAATTAAAAAAAAATAATATAGTTTAAGTTTAAAGCTTATTACTTAAATTTAAATTACTCAATATTTAAATTGATTTTTTGCCGCAGTTTGCATTTCTACATTTAGCAACATTTTTGCTGCTAAAGCTAAATTTGTTACTTTGTTTTCAAAAAACTATTACAAAATAGCTTTTGATTACTTTTTTATATAACCTAACAATAAAGCAAAAACAATAAAATAAAATTAAAAAAAAAATTTTCACCTTTAGCCTTAGAATTAATAAGACACGCTTTTTCCTTAAGCGTAAGTCTCTGGATTTTCTTTTTTTGATTTTTGTTTTTGTCTTCATTACTATTCTTATTTTTAAGCATTACTCTTAATATATTTTATTTTACTATTTGCTTCTTGCTTCCCTAATCTTGATAATCCATACTCTATATATTTTACTTTTCTCCCTTTACTATATCTGTTCAAATATCTCGAATAAACTTTTAAACAAACTTTATCGTTCTATCCTACTATCTGCTACCTCACTCACATTTGTAGTATTTAGTTTGCATATATTTATTTATCCTTGAGGATTTTATTAATCTGTCTTCCTTGTTCTTAATATTATTAATATTGTTGTTATTTTTTATATATATTTGTATATATTTTTTGTGGCGTGCTTAAAGATTCTTTTAGCGCAGTTTCTTTTTTTCTGCTCACTTTCAGAAGTTACGTTCATTTACTCATTTCTAACCTGTTTGTATATATAACTATATATGTATATATAGTTAAATATATCATATGATATATATCGAGAGAGAGGAAACTCATATGCTTATATTTATATAAAATATATTTAGTTTTTTTTTTTCTCGTGTATTGTAATAAAAATTATTTTTTTTGTTATATAATTTATTCCGTGTGTATCGTTTTTATCTTGTATCTCATATAAAATTGTTGTCGTAATATACATTTATTTCTCGTACATCGTAATAAAATTTTTTATATCGTAATATCATTATATCGTAATATAAATTTTGTGAATTAATAATATAATTATATTTAACGTATGCTATACCTTATGACCTACTTACAAAAAACAACAAAACAATATGGTTAAAAAAATTGATCCCAACGGTTATTCTTCTGTTAAAAACATAGCACCATCAGTTGCCCACCTTGATATCTGGATAATGGAACTCATGAACATCATCTCGGAACAGAAAGCAACTAGAAACTTGCAAGCTAATTAAATAAAAAAACTTGAACTAAAAGTAGGAATTATAGAAAATAACCTCAACACCCTGTCAGTCACCCAAGCAAGTTCAAACGGGCCATATATGTATATATATATATATATATATATATATATATATATATATATATATATATATATATATATATATATATATATATATATATATATATATATATATATGAATATATGAATATATTTTAAAGAAAAACACGATATTTTTTAATCTTGACATGTTTTGTAGTTAACATACTACATTTTCAAAAGATAAAATTACAATTTAAAACTCTGGATATAAATATAAAATCAAAATTTGAAGACATTACAGAGAAATATTAACAGACAAATAGAATTGTTACAAATCAATAAAAATTATAATACAAATTATTATACCGTAATAGTAAAAAACAAATAATAATAAATTTAAAAAAAAAAAAAAAACTTGATTGACACATTTATATTATAATGAACAGTTTGTTTATTTAAAGATGGGTTATCCTATTTAATATGCAGTGCTTCTTTAATTTTCAATTTGCTTTTGTTAGGAGCAGTATCCAAAATTTTAAAACAATTACAGTTATTAGAATGTAAATTTGTCAATCTTTTATGGCTTTACTTCCTTTTCATATAAAATAAGTCTTATAAAATGTTTAATTGATAGAACTTTCAAAGTTAACAACACTACCCTTGGTCTCTGCTATGATGTAAAAAATCTTTTCAAAATTGTCAAACGTAATAAAATCCACAACTCTTACTTAAATTAAGATAATTATGTCATTCCATTACCTTCTAAAGGCCTTACAAACTCTCGCTATTTCAAACTCTCTTATATTGGTCAAATATCTGAGCTAACGAAACGAAGATTACATGCAGTTATAAAGAGACATAGTAAGTCTGTTACCGTAAAATTAATATTCACTTGGTTAAAAGTGTCTAATTTTTTTTCATCTAAAGATCACCTTTCTGTAGATTTTAAATCATTCGTTATCTACAAATTTGTTTGTCCAGGATGTAAATCCTATTATATTGGCGAAACTGCTCGCCACCTAAAGACGCGAGTGATTAAACACTACAGAAGGGATAAAAACTCTCTTATCTATAAGCATCTTCACTTAAAAGAAAAATGTTTTACAAATTATAATGATGATTGCTTTTCCATTTTGGATTGTGCTAAAAACAAAATTGAATTAAAAGTTAAAGAAAGCATTTGTATAGGACAGGAAAAACTCGATCTGAATAAACAAGTAAACCATGTTAAAATGACTCTTATAGTTTATTATGATTTACCGGTTTCTTTTGTTATGTTTGACATTTGTTAAAATAATTTTTAATAATTCTTTTTGTATATATAGGAAGTTTGTTTAGAATTTTATGGCTTTTATTATGTTTATTTTTACAATTATATACTACATTTTTTACTGTTTTTAACAAATATATTTTACTGATGACGACTATATATATTTGAAACATGTCTTGATAAATAAAATGATTTTAAATAAAATTAAAAAATTTGCCTTATTTTTAAAAGGAATTATATATATATATATATATATATATATATATATATATATATATATATATATATATATATATATATATATATATATATATATATATATATATATATATATATATATATATATATTAGTAGAAAATCACTTAACACTAATTTATAGTTATAATTAATTAATTATAATTATATTAATATTTATAGCAATTCTACTAATTTATAATTGCTCTGTTCTTTTAAGAACATTGAGCACTCTATTTTGTAGAATACATTTTTTTTAAATTGTTTAAATATATATATATATATATATATATATATATATATATATATATATAAATATATATATTTATATATATATATATATATATATATATATATATATATATATATATATATATATATATATATATATGTATGTATGTACCAGGTATACCGGTATGAAGTGAGCGTCAAGATACAAATGTCTCGATAGGGAACATTTGTTGTGAACGAGCCTTTATTTTTTTTTGTTTGTTTGCTATGACATCTGTGAAACATATTTAGTATACATCAAGTCATTGAACAGACAACATCATATTTTTTCATCGTGTTAAAAATGTCGAATTTTGTACCGGAAAGTGATGATTTGCGGAAAGCATTAATTTTTTGTTTTCATTTGAAGAAAAGTGCTGCAGAGTCGCATCGAATGCTTGTCGAGGCATATGGTGATCATGCTCTATCAGAAGCAACATGCAAAAGATGGTTTCAACGGTTCAGAAATAATGATTTTGATGTGAGAAATGAAGAACGTGGAAGACCACCAAAAAAGTTTGAAGACGCCGAATTGCAAACGATATTGGATGGAGATGACACTTTGAGTCAAAAGCAAATGGCAGCAATGTTAAATGTTGCACAACAAACAATTTCTGACCGTTTAGAAGCTATGGGAAAGATCCAAAAGTGTGGAAAATGGGTGCCACACGAATTGAATGAAAGACAGATGGAAAACCGAAAAAACACTTGTGAAATTTTGCTTCGAAGACACGAAAGAAAATCGGTTTTGCATCGGATTGTTACTGGCGATGAAAAATGGATTTATTTTAAGAATCCTAAACGGAAAAAATCATGGGTTAATCCGGGACAACCATCAACATCGACTGCAAAACCAGATCGATTCGGCAAGAAGACAATGCTGTGTGTTTGGTGGGACCAGAAAGGTGTGGTGTTCCACGAGCTCCTAAAACCTGGTGAAACCGTCAATACTGATCGCTACCAACAACAAATGATCAATTTGAACCATGCATTGATCGAGAAACGACCAGAATGGGCCAGAAGACACGGCAAGGTAATTTTGCTCCATGACAATGCACCTGCACACAAAGCAAAACCGGTTCAGGATACAATCAAAACACTTGGCTGGGAGCTGCTACCCCACCCGCCGTATTCACCAGACTTGGCTCCTTCCAACTACCATTTGTTTTCATCGATGGGGCACGCATTGGCTGAGCAGCACTTTGATTCCTACAAGGAGGTCGAAAATTGGGTGTCTGGTTGGTTTGCTTTAAAAAACGAACAATTTTATTGGCGTGGTATCCACAAATTGCTAGAAAGGTGGTCAAAATGTGTAGAAAACAATGGCCAATACTTTGAATAAAATGTTTTATACTTTCCTATTAATAATTAGTGTTTTATTTTCACAAAAAACGCTCATTTCATACCGGTATACCTGGTATGTATATTAAAATACAACTTGATATAAAATTAATATTTTTCATCATTTTTAGGCATGTTCAGCTAAAGAAATAATATTAGGGCTAGACCTGGAAAATTCCTACTCAGAGAATGCTTTTTTTGTTGTCATAACAGTTTATACAGATGGTGAGTTTTTTTTCCTAATTCAAAAGTTTTCATTTCCTATAATTTTGGATAGTATAGTATAGAGCAGTGATGATATTCAAAAATTGAGAAAGAGATTTATTTCTCATCTCATAACATACTATGAATTTAAATATCATATATAAAATTATATATCAATATATACACAGTATAAAACACATGTGGGCAAGTTTAGTTGATCTGCTACACAGGTCTATATAGTTAGTTTGTAGTGGTAATAATTATAATTAAAAATCACACCCAACACAATTAGAATTGAGAGAGAATTAAAATGATGGCTTTATAGAATAAAACTGTATTGAGTTTTTGCACTCACCTTTCATCACCCCCATTTCTAAGAGTAAAAATATAAAATTGAATAGGTTTAACATTTAATAGGTTCAACATACAATGGACTATAGTTTATGTTTGATACCATTAGTTGTTTTTTTTTTTTCAAATATTTTTATAATGTGATATTGACAAAATCACAATAGAATTTAATTTTAATTTATATATTCATAGTTTGAAACTCTAGGAGTTGGAGCTGATGAAGGTTAGTGCAAATTTCATTTAACCCTCCGTTAGGTGCAATAATGAAACACATAAAATTTAGGTTTAATGTGCGTATTAGACTCAGAGTTAAAAGTTGCTGTTTTTTACAACCCATATAAATATAAAGTATACAAAAGTAATTACTGACCTTTAACGATATTTATGCTTCTTCACTCTAGGTGTTCGAATACCAGTTCATAAGAAAACTCTTTTAGAAATAATCTTGTTTTTTTACAAGGTTATTCCTAATATAAATTACTTGTGAATTGATGCCAGCAACATTAAGTATTGTATAGAAAATTACTATAGACTACCATCTGGTGTTTTGGCCAAAAACACCAGATGGTAAAAGACCAAAACTTTAAAAGACTAAAATTTTATCATTATTATAACCAAACATGCTTGTTTTTGCTTTTCTTCCTTTGACATTTATAAATACAATTAGCAGCTGTTTTTTGTTTTTTCTGACAGGCAAATATAGGAAAATTTTTCAAGTTTTTATTTATCAATAAGATCGAAGCCAGTAAACCAATTATCCACTGTTATATTCCAACCAGATCCAAATAAAGGTTCAGCCATTCTCATCACCCCATCATATGGTTTGTTTCTAAAACAGAAAGAACCTTGTGGTTCTTGCCCAGTAAAAATTTCCAATTCGGCAGTATAAAACATCCTGGCATCATTTAGACTATAAAGTTTTATTCCATACTTGTTTGGTTTTGAGGGTATGTCCGAAACTGACATCTATCTTGAAATTCTGTAAGCAATCAGTAGTAAGATTTTTCCTTGGACTAAAACTTTTCTGACAATTATTGACAAATGTTTCAAATATTATTCAAAATTGGGAAAAGTTTTTTTTTTTTTTTTCTTTGGTTTCAAGTTCTTTGATAATCAAAACGAAGACACAAGTAAATGTCTTAATCCGTTTAAGACTCATAACAAGACGGAAATTTTCTAACTCATTCGATTTGCTCAATATATTACTGCTAAATGCAATAGTCTGATGTATGCTTTTACCACAATTATGTCAGTGGATTTAATATCTCTCTGTTGCACAAACTTTTATGTCAAAATAAAGATTTGTGACAATCAATTCAAGTATATTGTTAATAAAAAAATAATTCCAACATTCATATGGAGTTTTGGGATTTTTTGCATTTCCAATGACTCCTGGAAGGTGAATGCAAATGTTGTGTGATTTTCAGTGTGGACTTTTTTTTAGTGGTTTATTTAGCCACTATTAGTTTTTTTATCTTAACCCATAAAAGAGTTTCGTTCTTCTTTGTTATCTTCTGTTTCATTTTCAGATTGCTCAGTTTCTGAATTAGGAATCCATTGCTCAACTTCATCTTCAGAGTCTGTATCACTTTCTTCTGCAAAGCCTTCAATTTGTGCAGGTTCTTCTTTTAGTATTACAAGTCGAAAAAAGGCAAAATATATAATTTTAAAAAAAAATAATAATAATAATTAAAAACAGCTAAATAAAATGTCTTAATCGGGCGCAGTTAGCCTATCAGAACACACTGGTTGATTAATACTCTTTTGGTTATCTGTAAAGTAACTTGGTGAGAGGGTTTTGTAAGTCTAATAAAGACAGGAAAGTGCTAGATGGTTCTAAATTTAAATGTGCTTCAGTGTGGAGAAAATAATAAATGAATGAAGCATGTGCCTGTTAGGTCAGTTGTGCCTGACGAAGGGTTAAAAGAATAGACTGAGTATAGATATAAGATTTAAACTATAAATATGACAATTAAATTTGTGTTTAAGAAAAGCTTTTGTCGTTTTGTCAATATCGCATTAAAAAAAGATTTGCAAAAAATATTTACTAATGCTACCAAACATAAACTATAGTCCATTGTATGTCGAATCCATTGAATCTATTAAATTTTGAATCTATCAAATGTTGAAATGTTTTTTTTTTTAAAAGAAATTTTCAGCAGTAAAAAGATTGTTTATAAAATGTTTATCAACTAAAACTACCTGCTCCTTGATGCTTGGAATCGTCAAATTTTGGGCTAAAAGGTTAAGCAGATGAGCTGAACATCAATATGTAGTACCATCAACTTGAGTTTTCATTTGTCTCAGTTTTGTTGCTTTATCAGTTATTACACTGCAAGCCTTACAAAAAAAATGTTTTTGTAATAGAAAAACAGCTACATCAACTAAATAGTTAAAAGTGTGTGAATGGCAATATAGATATCTAAGTTTGTTGTAACTGTTGCAAAACTACTGGCTAATTGTGGGCAATGCTCACCCATCAGTTCTCAAGGTTACGGGATTATCATGAGGCCAACCTGAATAGCTAGCTTAGCTTTTCTTGTGGCAATATCAGATTAGAATTGATATTGGTAGTTTTTACCAATATCATTTCTATTCAGAGGGTTATATCCAGGGCATAAAAAATCGGTTGTTTTGAAAAGTTCTAGACAATGTGACCACTCTGAAAATAAGTTAGTTGCATTAATCATTTTTTACTTGCTCTTGACACTGCCTTCATTTCTTGAAAAAGTAAACTAATACTAAATATATACAAAGAATTAGTCTCAATACGTAATCAGAATAAGAAATATGGCATCTTTTAAAATATCTCTGAACATTATCATCATAACATATTAACAAAGAGTTAAAAAATAGTTTATTATGTTTATTATATAATTAGTAATGAAAATAGATTTATTGATATTGATTTAATTAGGTAATAGGTTAGATTATATAACAAAAAATTTATTTAGTTAGATAAATCTTACAATAGATATAAAAATTAAATATTATGTACCATATATAATATGCATTATATGATTCATATGTTAATACTAATTAAAACAGGAGTTAATTTTACCTATTACATTTTTTGAATATAAATAGATTATATAAGTTAATGAATAAGCATTAAAAATAAAAAAAATTAAATAATTCAAAGTCTGGTTAAAATAACCGTAAATGCAATATATTTTGGTTTAACCCCTATATAAATAAAAAGGTTTCTATCAAAAATGGTAAACTCTTTGGATTTAATAGACAAACACATCCAAGTTGAAATTCCAATTAATTGTTTACTCTAATAACCATCGTGTAATAAAAAAAAACAACCCTAAATCAACAGTGTCTTGTAAATAGCATAGTGTAGCATGCCACTCTATACCCAGGCACTCCATACGGAAATAAAAGGTGTATTTTGGTATTAGTGAAACCACATTGAAACTTAAATATGCTAACCATACAAAATCTTTAATGAAATCATGTAATGAAATTGTCTAAAGAAGTACGGAGTTTAAAAGAAAGTAGAGTAAACCCAACAAAATAATAGAAGTTTATAAAATATTGTCGATCTAGTAATATCACAATAAAAAGATGCAACTTATGTCTATATGAAAATGATGTCATAATATCTTACACCAATGATAACTTATTAAATAAAAGAAATGAATTGGTATCTATATGTAGATATAAAAGTTAATCTTTTCTATCAAAATGCGATATGGGTAATCATGCAACCGTTTTAAGATTTTTCTTTTTTTCTTTTTTTGTTTGTTTTGATGATGGAGCACACTCCACTGTCTCTCTCTCTCTCTCTCTCTCTCTCTCTGTATATATATATATATATATGTATATATATATATATATATATATATATATATATATATATATATATATATATATATATATATATATATATATATATATATATATATATATATATATATATATATATATATATATATATATATATATATATATACTATCATCGCTTCCCAGTTATGATAGTGGCTGCAAGCAACCACTATCATAACGAGTTGAAAGTTACTGGAAGAAAAAAGATGAAATTTATAGAGCAAGAAAATGATCATCAGACAAAGATTGCAAATTATATAAATTGTATATATATATTAGTTCATTTTACATAATTTATTAATTTGTTACCGTTGCAGAGACAGCATGAATCAAGACCAATACCTTCAAGTGTTAAAAAATCACATGCTACCTACAGCCAGAGAGCTTTATGGCAGAAGAGGTTCCTTCATCTTACAACATGATAATGCACCTTATCATAAAGCTAAGCGAGTGTGCGATTTCTTACACGATAAGGGTGTTGAGAAAATGGAACGGCCACCCCAGAGCCCAGATATGAATCCCATTGAACATATATGGGAAATCTTGTTCAGGGCCATCAGGGGTAAAAGCCACGCAATCAGGATGATTTTTGGAACTTCCTGCAATATGCTTAGAATAACATCATTTCACAGCACCTTTAAGATCTTATTGCATCTATACCTCTATTGGACATACTAAGTGTTAGAAATTCTTCCAGTTCTAGACTGAAGAATTACTAATACTTAGTTTACTGTAGTTTATAAAAAAGGTAAACACTGTACAAATACAGAGTGACTGCTTGGTGTTTCTGTTTTATCTAGCGAGAAATTCTATTAAAAATTTAATGGACAAATGACTTTTTTTGACCACTGTATATTCATATGTGTATATATATATATATATATATATATATATATATATATATACAGTGGTTTTTATATTTATATATACCTCCGGTTTTTCCCCAGTTGCCCTGTGGGCAACTGAAACATTTTATTTCTCATTTGAGTTGTCCACTTTGATAATCAGTAGTCTGATGCAAAAGTTTTTTTGTATTTTTTCTTGGGTGAAACTAGTGAAAAAAAATAGTTTCTACTTGCATTATTAATTGCGTTCTAATAATAATTTTTCACATGCACCTTAATAATGTTTTTTATTTTGCTTAATTTTTGGCAAAGTTAAAAAAAAATTGATTATATTAATAAAAAACAAAAGACATTCAGTGTTATTAATGATTAAATTGCTCATTCACATAATTCAAAATGCAACTATAAGGTTTAAAAAATGATACAATAGTATTTGAATATGAAAGAAAATGTAATTTTAAAACTCATTTTAAACCGAAAAAAATAAATAAAATCTATATATATAAATATATATATATATATATATATATATATATATATATATATATATATATATATATATATATATATATATATATATATATATATATATAAAATATATATATATATATATATATATATATATATATATATATTATATATATATATATATATATAAATATATATATATATATATATTTATATATATTTATATATATATATATATATATATATATATATATATATATATATATATATATATATATATAAATAAACATTAAAAGCTGTTAAATATGGTGGATCAAAAATAAAGATTTGGGTTTGTTTTTCTTATTACAGGCTAGGGCCCATCTATAAGATTGATGGAACTATTGACCAACATTTATCTAAAAAATTTATAAAACCATTTTGTCTTATGCAGAAGATGGTATGCCACTAAAATATGTATTCATGCAAAACAATGACCCAAAACATGAGCCATAAGGTAAAAAACTTGTTTGTGGAGGAGGGGATTGAAGTTATGGACTGGCCTGCGCAGTCACTTTATCTCGATCCCATTGAAAAACATTTGACCAACGTCAAAGAGGCAGGTTCTAAAAAAAACCCAAGAAATTAGCACAAATTATGGAATGTTGTACAGTGGAGTATTTCAAGCTAAAAGTTGATTACGAGAATTTTATAAAAGTACAATATTAGCTATATATTATGGAAGCTTAATAGGTAAAACTCTAGGTAAAACAGTACACTTCCAGTCAAACACATCTTTTAAAAGCATTATTTGAGTTTTTATGCAATAAAATCTTTAACAAATCATTATGAATGTTGAAGAAGAAGGTATGTACATACAAAATAAATGTATAGTTTCTTCATTTTATTTAATAAAGTGATATTTTTGTTCATATACAATTGAGACTAAAAATTTTTGATTTTTTTTTATAAATACTATATATTCAAAATTGTTTTTGTATACGAGTTAAGCTGAGTTTAGCTAAGATTTTGATGGAACATTCTTGTTAATATTTTTGAAAAAAAAAAGTCTCACATAAATCTTCCATTTTTTAAAATTAACTTTTGATTAAATGATACGACAAAAGCATTTTTTTTTTTTAAATAAAAACTTGTTTCATTTTTTTTTTTTCAGAATCCTAACCAATGATGAAAGAGATGACTAGAAAACAACTCTACGATGTTTTAAAACAATGCCCAACAAAAAAATTGATGATAAATTTGTATTTTTAGAAGACTACCTCAAAGTTATTACAAAATGTACTGAAAATGAACAATTTTCATTTAAAAAAGCATTAAAAACTTTCAAGTTTCATTTTAAACAAAAATGGATAGCTCCTAATAATAACATAGAGAAACGCTTTTTGAAGAAAAATAAACTATGGCTCAATACCATCATAAGTCGACCCATCTGTATAAGAAAAAGGCCTGGTCGACCATCTAAAGATTTCGAGGTGTTGAGTTTGCCAAGTAAGAAATGCAGAACAAAAGCTTTGAGAGAGAAAATATCTTCCAAACAATTAACCTATACTGCCCAAATGAGTGAGCATGATGCAGGATATTGTGACGCACCTAGAATAATAAAAGTTATTAGCTGTTTACTTGGAAATGCTAAAAAATATAGAGAAAACTTTAATTTCATTCAGAATAATGTTATAAAAAAACACGCCAACAAAAATATTTATCCATTATTCGCTTTTGAAAGAATCAAAAAAACAATGTTATCGGCCACAAGAGTCAATGACAGTTTCAGAAACATGTTGTGAAATTAAACTACAAGATATTCTAAACAATACATCTAGATGCTTGTGTGAATATTTAAATGAATTTCTGGAAATTAAATGAAGAAGAACGAAGCAATTTAGAGATGATATCAAAATGGGCCCACAGCAGCAAACATTTAAACAAAAATTCTAAAATAGTTCAGATAGTGACTCAAACATCTTTCAAAGTTCATTTTTGCCTCTACGGCTTATATGCCATACTGGTAACCAGAAGATTATTTGGCAAAATCCAGTGACCTCTTCTACAAGATATTGTTGTCCAATATGAATTAGTTTTATCCATGAAACTAAAGACATAACAAATGAAGAAATCTGCTATATAGAAGATCAAATCAAAAGCTTAAGAAAAACTGAAATACCAAAACTTTTTGGTGGTATTATATATATAAAGCATACCTTGACATTTACAATGGTTGATGTAAAACCAACACAGCATCTACTATGAGGTGCTATGTATGTGGACTAACGTCAAAAGACTTTAATAATAAGAATAAAAAACATAGAAAATCCAGGTGCCTTTAAATTTGGTTTATTGATATTACATGCAAGGATTCGATTTTTCGAATTTTTATTACATTTGTCATACTTCATTCCCATAAAAAAATGGTAAACAAGAACACAAGATGATAAAATAATTGTGCCAGAAATAAATAAAAAAAACAAACAAAACAAATTCAAAGAGAAAATGTTGTAGGCTGAAATATATGTAGGCTTGAGAAGGCTGTTGGTAGATATTCCAAAGGCAGGTTTTGGGAATACTAATGATGACAATACATCAAGAAGATTTTTCTCAGATCCTCAAACCTCATCCTCATCACAGAAGTTGACATTAGAATTATTTAAATTTGTAGTATTATTTTAAAAACTTTGTCTAGTGGATATAAAATAGATGTCAAAAAATTTGAAAAGTTTGCAGAACTTTATGTTGAAATTTATGGATGGTACCCAATGACTCCTACAATGCACAAGATATTAAGACATGGTGCCAAAATAATTGACCGAGCTATTTTGCCTATTGGTCAAGTATCAGAACAGGAGGCAGAGTTTCGAAACAAGCACTTTTGTGATAATAGGCGAGGAAGTTTTCAAAAGAAATTTGCAATAGGGATATTCTAAACAGACTTCTGTTAAGTTCTGACCTTTTGTTGAGCAGTGCCAGAAAAAGGTTTAAGAATAGAATAAATTCTATATCCAGTGAGGCATTAGAGTTCTTACTACCAGAAACATTGAACAAACTACAACAATATGAAGAGGAGGCATCTAGCAAAAATGAATCAGAATAACGGTTATTTTTTTATCATTTTTAGTATATTTTGTTATTTCATGTGTTTTTTTTACCTTTGTAGTAGAGTTTATTTCACTTTTATAGTAAATGTATTTGTATATTTACTTTTATTTATATTGTTTGTATTTGCATCACTTTTTTTTTTTTTAACATTTTTTCTCTTTGGACATTTAATGTTTTAATTAAAGTTTAACACTTATTATTGTTGTTTAGTTTTTTTTTTTGAACCTTCTTTTTGTATGTTTGGTACACAAAAGTGTGTTTTGGGAAAAAAAAGAACCTGCCTAATTATTTTGATCAATTTTTGACCTTAAATACTCCACTGTGCGTTGGTCGAAATAAAAAAATATTTCTTTACAGTGTTGTCAAGATCAAATCAACTTAATGCTGAATCCGTGCAAATCTCTGATTCAAAATGAGGGATGATATATGTATATATATATATGTGTGTGTGAGTGTATATATATATATATATATATATATATATATATATATATATATATATATATATATATATATATGTGAGTATATATATGTGTGTGTGAGTGTATATATATATATATATATATATATATACACACACACATTTAAATATATATATTTATTTTTAGTATATATGGTTTTACACGATACTTTAAAGACCTATATATTTTATATTTGTGAGGATTTTGAAATATGCCATATTTTTTCAATTTTTTGAAGCTTTTTTGAAGTTGCAAAGAGGGCAAGCAGTGCATTTGAAGAGTATATGCAAAAATATAGTGGAACACCTTGATCAACTGCTTCAAAATTCAAAAAATGTTTCTTCAAAAAACTATCAGCTTAAAGCTATTAATGCTTCTAATCTAAATCAGATTTTAGTGGTTGTTAAAAAGTATGAACGTTTCTGTTTTTCTTTGAAAGATTTTGTTTTAAAAATCAGTGAAAAACTTATACATGAAAAGTATGACGATTTAGAAAATTTTTTATCTGAAAAATCTATAAAACAAAATGGGTGGAGTGCATATGATACCGAAGCATGTCGCAATATTCTGTGTGAGTTGTAAGTTAATATTGATCAATTTATTAAGTTGGCAGAAAATGATAAATAATATTTTTTTTGCTGACAATTTGCAAAAGTATATACTAATAATATTTATATAAAAGAATGGTTTATAATTTTTGACATGCTTTCTGCAGTGTTTTTAAGGTATTGGAGCAACTTATTGAATGTATACCATTGTTGAAACACCCATCTATGATAGAAATTAAAAGTTGTTTTACTGTTTTTGTTGTAAGTTGTTTTTTTTTAATTTGTTTTTTTAAGTTATTATTATTATTTTATATTTCTTATAGATACACACACACACCTATATTATTATATATATTTATCTTATAGATACACACACACACGCAGATATATATATATATATATATATATATATATATATATATATATATATATATATATATATATATATATATATATATATACATATATATACATACATATATATATATATACATGCCTAAACCCAAACCCAGTTTATGTGTGTACTGAATCCTATATCCCCTTCTCCTGCAGATAGCTATTTTAGTATGGCATTATCAATAATGTTTCATGAGTGTTTTATAATGTTATGTTTTTTCAAATAAAAATATCAATAGTGATTTTCTTTTTGAAGTTTTACATTATAAGTTATTGCAGTTGTTTTCTTTTTTTTTCTTTTTTTTAATTGATTTTTAGGATTCTGTTTTAAAAATGAAAAGAATTGCAGATATGTTTGGGTTTTATGCTTCAATGAAATTCGATATCTCAAATGCACTTTATAAAGCAGGTTATTTTATTTTTAAGTTTTAAGTTTTAAATGTCATACATATTATATTTATGTCTTATATATTATATTTAATATATTAGTTTGATATAATTTGCATTTAATATACATTTAATACACACATAATAAACTAAATTTAATATATAGGATATTTTTACTGAGATATTCCATGTCAATTCAACCAGATCATATCAAATTATATATATATATATATATATATATATATATATATATATATATATATATATATATATATATATATATATACATATATATATATATATATATATATATATATATATATATATATATATATATATATATATATATATATATATATATATATATATATATATATATATATATATATATATATATATAAAATTAAAAGGACTTAGTAAAATAGTAATTCCTTCAAGATTTCTCCAAGCAGATCCTGAAATATGGCTGTTTTACTTCTAGACCTTCCCTGTTCCTTCTGTACTGCAACATTTATCTAGAGGTTTCATGTCTGATAACTTTTAAAATATTTGTTCATTTTAATTTAAAATTTGTATCTGTCTAATTTCTGGAGTATGGAATCCAAAAAAACAATATTCAATAATGTCTATATAGATAAACAATATCATGGTAGACAACATGATGGACAACACTAATATGCAACGCCACCCCTAATTATTATTTAAATTAATTTAATGTAATGTAATTTTTTATATACTTGATTTTGATGTCCAAAAAATCCATGTTACTTTGACAATAACAAAAAAACAACACTCTGTCCAAAAGACATCGTTGTCTATTCAATGATCTTTCTTAAAACATTAGGAATTTACTCTGCAAGTGTACAGATTAAATATAAACAAATATATAAATAAATATTGTAAATAAATGATTTCATTGAATTTTTATATAGCATAGTTTTTTATTACAAAAAACAAATTTAAATTCATTGATGATGATCCAATGCTAAAATGTTATCTGCAAATTATTATTCAAGTGAAAAGTGCAGTGTATCCAATACCCATAGTAACCATAGATACCGAAATACTTTTTCCTAGTATTAAAGTACCATTATTTGGTTGGCTGATAAACTGTATTTTGGTATTACCACTAGTATAACTATCTTATAGCAATAAGTATCGTCATAACACTTGTATAGAAAAGTTTTACCTAATAAATTCATTATTGATACTTTCTAATGCTAAAACATTTAACAGCAATTAGTTTAATTAAATTAAGACTTATAATGGTAGCTAAAAATATATTCTGTCATAACATAACATCAGTATCATTACATCAGCATCACATTTCTTCTAAGAAATTTATCATTTTTAAGGTGTTTTATTAAAATGTAATTAACATTTTTAGCATTTACAAATTGATTAGAGCTAAATAATGATGTTAAAAGTAACAAAAAAAATAGATCTCTTATAAAAAACAAAACATTTAAAAGAAATCAATCACTGTTTAATTGCCCATTACCATGTGTTCAAGTTAGTTTCATTACATTATTACTTTTGTTTCTTTATTTTTTATTTAGTCTTGAATGTAATTTAATAGTTATTTTTGATTGCAGTGTTGTCAAGAATCCTGATTATGTCAACCTAGCTTACCCAATAATGCCACTTATATAGGGATAGCATACACATTAAGGTACCCTGTGATGCAAATTTTAAATTCTTTTAGCCTGCAGAAAAAAGTTTAATTTGAATGTTCAAATTGAGTGAAATGACGCACCAATTAAAACATCTGTAGAATAAAAACTCTTTATAATTTCATACTAATTAGTGCAAATGTAACACCAAATTCTGGATAAAACTTTAGATAGGTTTACTGGTTAAGAATTTATCGTAGTTAAAGTTTTACAAGTTTTTTTGCTACTTATACCTCAAAATGTCTCTGATCTGACAAGTTTGATTCTACTCTGTAATTCCAACAATTTTTATTAAATTGTTTTGTTGCTGCATGTGCAATTTCCATTCTATAAACCAAAATATTGATTTGCTATCGGTTTGAATTAGACCTTCTATATTGTGAAAATCTCAGCATTTCTTAAGGTATAAACTACTTTCAAAATGCATATATATCCTCAAAAAAAGTTGAAAAGCTTTTCTAAGGACCTCTACATAGAAAATAAAAAATCTCATCTAATAAAACAGAAAAATGGTGAGAAAATTTTTATATTGACTAAGGTATAGACTAAAAGCCTTTGGTTTTCAGTTTAAAATTTTTAATTAAAATATTATTACCATGATAGAGTTTGAAGCATCTTATAGCAACAGGAGAGCAAATAAGTTTGCAACATATTTTACAATTATTATCTAGAAAGGTTTGTAAAAAGTTTGTAAAATGGCAATAATCAGATTTAATCTATTTACCTTCATGCAACATAAACTCGTCAGACTCAGATGTAGAATAGAATACATTCAAACTGTCTTAATTATTTAGATGTAGAATAGAATACATTTAAGCTGTCTTAATTATTTTCTACAAAAGAGCAAGCGCACCAAATTATGATTTTCATCATGGATTTTTTATTGCAAATCTTTGAAAAAATGAAAAAAGAAAATTTATCCAATGAATATAATCTTTTTTTTTTTTGTTTCTGCTTTGGACATACAGATGTTGCACTTCCTCCTTTGTTTGATTTAAAGTCAATACAAGTGAGACCTGAAATAAGTAGCACAATGTGTGATTGCCTCATCTGCCAAATTGGTTGTTCAAAGCCGCAAGAAAAATATTCTCTTAAAAAGCGGTTTATATACATAAAAAATTGTGGTTTATATACATATATACTAGTAGTTTATTGGCATACATACTAGTATTTTATATACACTAATAATTTATATACATATAAACTACTAGTGTGTATAAACCACAATCCTCGTTTTTTTTTTTGAAAGGTTGCTGCTTTAGGCTTAACTTCTAAGGTTGCTGCTTTAGGCTTAACTTACTTCTTTAGGCTTTTTTCATCAAAATTTTTTTTAATAAATTAATTGATTAGTTTACTTTTCTATTTATTTTCTATTGTGGTGATAGTGTTTCTTCTTACTATATGTCTTTCTGGAAGTCAAGGAATTTCCAGCAATATCAGGTCTTCATCTATCTTTATTTTTTGTTTTATTAATTTCTTGTACTATTTTCATATATTTGTCACATAAAGCTTTTCTTTTTTTCTTTTTTTTTTTTTTTGTTGTTAGTTTTAAATATTTTTAATATATTTTCTTTAAATATTTTTGTAATTATTATCTTTTTTAATACTTTTTTTAAACTTCTTTTAATAAATATAATCTGTTATAAGAAACCTGTTATCTTAATTTTTTTAAATATATTTATATTTTTTTATTAATTTGTTAATAATACTAGTACCTTGTTGTTTCCGAGGGTTACCTTGTTTTTGTTTTTAGAATTATATTTATGCTATTTTTTAACAAATATACTTCTTAATTTAGAATCAAGTAACAAAATTTTCATATATAATAACCTTGGTTTTACATTGTTTATGTACTTAATCTACATTCATGGACTTGTTTTTCAAGAAATTCCTCTTGTCTATAGGTAATATTTCAAGTAATTGTAAAAAATAAAAATGTAAAGACAGAGAAATGTTATTACCTAAAACAGTGTCATTTTTATTTCCAAGTTTAATTTCTGCAATTTCTAAATTTTTAGAATAGAGAGTATTCTTTTAACTGTTATGCCACATTTAAACATGATGATAAAAAGGTATTTTGTTATAATATTATGTTATAATAAGTTACAACATGTTATAATGTTAGTTTATATAAGTATTTTTTATTTTTACTTAATGATGTTGCACCTGATGTTGGCTAATATGACTTCACTTTACTGAAGTCTGTGATATTGTTATGTTTGTTTATTTAAAATTAGTTTAGGTGTTGGGCAAGTTTTGTTGATTAGGGTTTTAGGTTAGTAAAAAAAATAATTATTAAAAAAATTCATTATAAATCATTAATATATTTTATTTTGCTTATTTGACAAAACTTATTAAATGTTCATCACAGATAAAAGTATCATATTGGAAGCATGCTATTTAGTATTTTTCTTTTATTTTTAATTGCTTGTTAATAACAGATATGGAAAAGACAAACTTTTATTTTTTCTGATGTATTTTATTTAAATTATGGATCAAGATATAAACAGTATGTACTTGCTGTTTAATCAATGTTTATGCTCAAATGATTTGATAATAATTTACATAATTGCTTTTTAATCATCACTCAAATGAGTTGATGATTCAACAAAAAAACCAAAGCATAAAAGATATTAGATTTAAAATTTAACAAATAACGGAATGCGGGCATTATTTTCAAAAATTGCAATTCCAGTTGTTGCTTATTGCATTTAGTAAGATGGTATGCGTTTTTTGACAATATATGGAAACATTTTCAGAAAACTTGAAATATAAAAACCTAATTATTAGTTGCAACATCATTAACATAACATATTGATATCTCATTGAACAGAATACTATAAGTTAAAATTAAAAATGTTGATTAGCCAATTATAGCAAGAAATTTAAGCAACGATAAAGTTTTGATTATAAAAAAATAATACTTTGCATTTTTCATTAAAAATGAAAATATATTATATCAGATTTTTAGTTTAGTACTCTGTTAACAAACTTGTGCAATAGAATTGCTTCTTGTAATCTTGGCTCAATATATTACAACTACAGGGTGTCCCAAAATTAACACAAGATTTGAATTAAATAGAAAACACAGTTTTTAGTCTTTTGATTGTAATTTTTTTATTGATTCATAAAGTACATAGGATAGGGTTATTTATGGAATAACACATCTGACAAATGGCCTCCGCATCTTTGCATACACATACACACTCGTTTGTCGAAATTTTCAATGACCGTTCTGCATAAATGTGGCTGAATTTTGTTGATGCAACATTGAATCTCCTCCTTTAATGCACATGTGGTTCTGGGCTTGTTGATGTAGACTTGTGATTTTAAATAACCCCATAAAAAGAAATCTTTTGAGGTTAAATCACACGATCTAGGGGGTCAATTCTGATCACCAAAATGAGAGAGTACACAACCTGGAAATGTCTCATGCAGTAATTGAATTGTTTCACGGGCTGTATGGCATGTTGCCCCGTCTTGTTGAAACCATATATTAGCCAAATCAATATCATCCAATTTCGGCAAAAAGAACTGTGTTATTATGTCGCCATATCCAGCACCAGTAACAGTCACTGCTTGACCAGCCTCATTTTCAAAAAATGTTCCAATTATGCCTCCAGCCCAAAATGCACACCAAAAGTGACACCTTGTCGGTGCATTTGTTTTTCGACAATCACATGTAGGTTTTCAGAACACTAAAAGCGACAATTTTGGCAATTAACAAAGCAATCAAGGTAAAAATGTGCTTCCTTGCTTAGGATGATTTTGCTTGAAAAATCAGCATTCATTTGTTGTCGCTCATTAATCCATTCAACAAACTCTCTTCGCTGTGCATGTTCATTGGGCTTCAGTAGTTGTGTTAATTGCATTTTGTAAGCAAGGAGACAGATCTTTAGTGAGTATATGCTGTAGAAAGCTTTTGAAATTTGCAATTTTAAAATACAATGCAAAATGCAAAAAATAATGCAAAAAAAATTTGCAGGTCAGGTCAGGATAATCAAGATAAATCTTGCTACTGGTATCACGTAACCCAGTACCACCTGCCACAAGCCCTGCTGCCTTGCAGAGTGTGCTCTTCTTATGCAAAGGCTAGGAGAAATAAACTCCGACTAAAAATTCCCCTGCCTTGGGGCTCTTGGTTGAGTAAAGGCTAGAGATGGTGTCTCGATAAAAACACTCATCTTGGGCAGATGTTAACTGCATCCAGCTAAACATCCCCTGCCTTGGGGCTCTTGGTTGAGTAAAGGCTAGAGATGGTGTCTCGATAAAAATACTCATCTTGGGCAGATGTTAACTGCATCCTGCTACTGTCTTGTAGAAGGCCTCCTAGGCAAAGACTTTAGGGGTAAGCAGAAAAATTCTGCTAACCAGCCTCGAACCCCTACTTCATCTATTAGGCTGGCGTAGATGTAACCTGTGTTACATTGTTTCCTGCCTAGGATGATGAATGCTGGATCTCCTTGACTCTACTCATAGAATTTTGCTTATGCCTCCTTGATAATGGCTATGCAATTCTTCCTGTTATCTCCATATGAGGGTACAGCTCTAAAACTCAGTTTAATGGTTCTGAGGCCGGCTGGTAGTAAGGTTTCTCGAACTCTTTGGTAGCTCTCAGAGAGGCTGATTCCATCAACAGCTGCAAAATATCAGAGTATTAACAGTGCCATGTTGCGCATGGATGGTGTCCCTGTTAATGCTTTTGGTGTGCATTGTCAAGGCCACATAAGGATCCCTATGTCACGGCTTAGGGTTAATTAACAGGACTGAGACAACTGCATAGCTCATTGATTAGGAGGCTGTGCTCTATCTATGAATGAGTCAAGTTCTCATTAAACCCAAATCATGACCAAAGTAACCAAAAATTTAAAACCTAAAAAACCATCCCCACCACCTAAATATTTTAATATATCTTTTACAAATATTCGCGGTCTACGAAGCAACTTTCCATCAGTTGAGTCTTACCTCCTGCAAAATTCACCAGACTTGCTTGCACTCAGTGAAACAAATTTAAATTCTGCAATTCCTTCTTCAGATGTCAGTGTTGATGGGTACTATCCTTTGATTCGTAAAGACTCCAATAGTCACATGCTAGGTTTAGGGGTATACATACGCATTAATTCCCCTATTTGTCGTGAAATCAGGTTCGAATCCTTTGACCATTCTTTTATGTGCTTTCGTCTAGCACCTCTTCACTCTATCACCTTTCTCTTTGTTCTTTATCGTTCTCCTTCTTCCCATGATTGCACTCTTTTAGATGTTATCTCTGATCAAATTGACCATGCCCTCTCTCTTTACCCCTCTGCCAATATTGTTGTTGTTGGTGATTTTAATGCCCATCACACTGAATGGCTTGGCTCTAACACCACTGATCCTGCTTGCACTAAAGCCTTTAACTTCTGCGTTTCTCAATCTCTTACTCAGATAGTTAACTTTGTGACTCGTTTTCCTGACATCCCTAATCATTTACCTTCACTCCTTGACTTATGTCTTGTCTCTGACCCTAGCTTATGTTCAGTTTCTCCCTTTTCTCCTTTAGGTGGTTCTGACCATGCAATGATCTCTATAAATCTTTCTTCTCGTACTTCTTTTTTGGGCTCACCTTATCATTGCACCACCTACTACTACCCTAAAGCTGATTGGGATTCCTTTCAAGATTTTCTTCGTGATGGTCTTTGGGCTAATGTTTTTTCTCTCTCAGCTGACAAATGCGCCTCCTACGTAACCTCCTGGATTCAGGCTGGAATGGAAGCTTTTATTCCTTTTCGTCGGTTTCAAGTCAAAGCCTCATTCTACTCCATGGTTTTCTCCTTCTTGTGCGGCTGCTATATCCAATCGTAACCATTTTTTTTATCTTTTTCAAAAGAACAACTCTCTTGAGAACAAACGGCTATTTATTATTGCAAGAAATCGATGTAAAAAGGTGCTTTCTGATGCTAAGCTCCATTATTCTCAGTTCACTAAATCTCGCATCTTATCGCAGAAGTTAGGCTCTAAAGACTTTTGAAAAATCTTCAATAGCATTGTTAACAAGGGTAGATCTAGCATTCCATCTCTCATTCATGGGACTGATCTTGTTACTTCTCCCAGGGATAAGGCAGAACTATTTGCAAAGAACTTTTCTTCTAATTCCACTCTTGAATCTTATGGACATTCTCTTCCTTCCATTCCAGTCAAACAGGTTGACCCATTGTTAGACATTCAAATCACTACGGCTTCTGTTGCTAAAATCACTATTCCGACCATATTTTGTATTAAATTTTTGAACTGTGGATGCCAAGCATTCATTCTTTTTGAAATGTTGTTCAACAATGAAGACACGTTGTTCTATTGCGTAATGCTTCATTTTTACTAGCCCTAAACTGTCAACTATCGATTTATTTTATTTTTAGTGTTGTCAACACTGTACTGCATAAATGGCGGTAAATTCAAATCTTGCATTAATTTTGGGACTGTATTAACATAGAAGGATTCCAATCCAATTCCAAGTTTTCTTAAAAGCCTTATTATTTTTGTTTAGAAAGAGACATTCTAGATTTTATATATTTACATAACACTTATGTATTTTCAGTTGTTGTTGTTTTTTTTTAAGGAGAAATTTTAGTCTAAATCCAATCCTCTAGTGGGTTTCTGAAAATTTTAAAATGTTAAAAAGTTAAAACAACAACATTAAAAAAAAGGTTGAGAATCACTGCTTAAATAAACTTCTGCACATTAGTAATTAAATGAATATACAGTATATTCACTTGTAATCATGTAGCCTCATCTCCCATGTTTATCTTTTCTGTGTTTTGTCTAGTGTATAGTGTACAAGATTTTGTTGTTATTTTATAATGAATATAAAAAGTATTTTAAAAGTAATTTTGACCATAACTAATTCAAAAACTTGCTGCAAAAGCTGGTTATTTTGAAATGCTAAAGTTATTCAAAAATTAATTGTTGGCACAGAAAAAAAAAAGTTTTGTTTTTTAAATAGAATCAACTTTATATAAAGTTAAATTCATAATGTCAATGTTAAATTTAAAAGTCTCCATAAGATTGTATCCTTTACATAACAAATTTGTGTATAATCATTCCTGCATTATTTCTTACTTTTAATAACTGGGCAAATAGGCCTGCATTTTTCAATCAAATCATGGCAGTTATTAGTCAACACATTTAGAGTTGTGACGCGTTTTTTTGGTTCTTGTTATTTTGGTTTTTTTTGGAAAAAAAACGCAGGGGTTCGTTTTTTTTGTTTTTTTTGGGAAATATTAAAAAATTCATCATTTAAGCTACTAAATTCAACTTTAATGGCAATATTATTAAATGTATTTTAGTTTAAGATTCATATAGGAAAACTAAGGTTGAATTTGGCTAAAATTCTTTTTCTTTTCGTATGTTTAAAGGTAATAGTTTTATTGTTAATTTTTAGGTTAACAGGGTTATAGCAGTCCTGTATAAAAAATTATTAGTTAATTTTATCGTCCTCTATTTAATTTTTATTGACTTGATTGTATATATATATATATATATATATATATATATATATATATATATATATATATATATATATACACATTATTATTATTGTTATTATTATTATTATTAATTTACTGTACTTATAAAGTTTTGAGTTGTAAATAAAAAGTTATATGCAGTTTTAAAAGCTCTTTTTAATAATCAATTATATTCTCTATTTAATTATATTTAAATTTTAGATATTTTGCTTAACATAGTAAATTTTAATTATAAAAATGAGTAAAGCAGGCCATTCAGGGGGAGAAACAAAACCATAGTTGCCAATTTATTTATACCAATGAACCAAGTTAGCAAAATGGAAAGAGTTAAATGTTCCTTTTGCTTTGACATTATGTCTAAAAATGGAACTCGAATGACTAAACATATTGAAAAATGTTGAAAATGTCCTGGTGAAGTAAAAAGTCTATATGCAAATAAATCAAGTCATAGTCAAAAACAGCAAGACTGCAGATACAGAACCAAAAACAAAAAATCCTCGATCAGATTCTTTCGGAACATCCTTTTCTGAACCAATTTGTAGAAGTAAAATACCAAGTTCCATGTTTGACAGCTTGACAAAAACTGAAAAGGTGTGTAATGTATTTTTATAATTTTAAGATTTATTTGAAGAATGAGCTGATATGGCTACTAACTTATTAAAAATTCATGATGTATAGATTTTAGATTTGTTTCATGATTGACTGATGTACCAGTATGACATATCTTTTGCAGGAATTGATTGATACACACCTAGCAAGAGCACTATATGCCAGTGGGTCCCCACTCCAATCAGTAGAAAATAACTTAGAAAATCTTTTTGATTTATTATTTACTTAATAAACAGATCATATTTGTTTATATGCTGCTTTTTCTTTACAGAAATGAAGCTATCATTAACTTTGTAATGACATTGCCTTCTTTATCACCCATTTTGTGGAAGACATTGCCTGCAGGTAAAACCATAGTTCTTGTACTGTATACAATGGGTTTACTTAACAGACTGGTAAACTTTAAAAATATGCATACTATTTATAATTAACTTTGATATTAAATTTATAACAAACGACACTGAAAACAATTTCAATAAGCAGAAATAAAGTATCAGTAAATAGGTTTATAATATTTATATAGTACAGTATATATAATATATCCTAAACTGTTTTGTAGGAACATCAAGCCATTCTGGTAAATATATGGCAAATGAAATAAAGAAAGTTTTAGAAGAAATAAATTCTAACAAAGTTTCGGACATTGTGACTGACAATGCTGCAAATATGAAAAATGCATGGACTCGTCTAAAAGATTTTTATCCCCATCTTCAATGCTGTGTATGCATTTCACATGGTTTAAATTTGCTGTTTACAGACTTTTTTAAATTGACAACTTTAAGTGTTTTGATGTCACAAGCAACTGATATTGTTAGAGAAATAAAAAATTCTCATTTATCTGTTGCAGCATTTAGAGATATACAAAAGAAGTCAGCTGGTGTAGCAACATGCATTTCCTTGAAACTACCTGTACGAACTAGGTAATACAATAAAAGCATAAATATACTGTACGTTACAAAAAAAATTTAATTATGTAACTAATTTTATTATGCATTCATAAAAATAGATTTTATTTAGTAAATTACTTTAATCAAAATTTATTAAAGTTATTGCAATTTTTGTGTTTTTTATTTAAAGGTGGGGATCAACTGTAGCATGCTTAGATAGCATACAGAAAAGTAGGCAACCGTTTAAAACATTGGCTATTTCTGAAAACAGTGGTCTTTATTCAGCAACAAAAAATATTCTTCTATCAGATATTTTTTGGGACAGGGTTGAAGGTTTTTTCAAATTGCTGTCACCAATAGCTGATGCAATAAAGAAAACTGAATCAAATACTCCCATGTTATCTACTGTTGTGGAAACTTTTCACTTCTTAGAAGATCACATTTTTAAAAATTTGACAGTTAGCCCATTCTCAAAAAAGGAAGAAGAAGCCAAAAAGATCTTCAAAAAAAGAAAAGAATTCTGTTTAACAGAAATTCACTTGGCAGCCAATATACTAGATCCCAAATTTCAAGGCAGAGTCTTGACTGGAGAATAAAAGGTATTTCCTTCACATAATTCATATATGATTCTTAAAATCAAATACATTTTAGCCTTGTGCATTAAAAGTAAAATTTTTGAAAAATTTTGAATTATTTTAAATACTATTTTCAAGTTTGAAAATATTATTTAAAATAATAAAGTAATTATAAAATTATTAAAAAAAAAATCTTTTTATAGACTGATGCATGTGAGGCGATACATAACATTGCTGCAAGTATGCCCGAAGTAAACAAAGAAATTATGATGTATGACTTGGCTAATTACCAATCAAAGGGTGGTATATTTTCAAAACCTTTTATTTGGACTGCAGTTGGAATAACTCAACCTATAAATTGGTGGAAAGGGTTGTGTTTCTTTACTGAACTATCAAAAGTTGCATCTAGAATTCTTCAGCTACCAGCTTCAAGTGCAGCATGTGAGAGAAGTTTTAGCACTTATTCTAACATTCATAGTGCGAAAAGAAATCGCTTAACGACTGAAAGAGCTGGAAACTAGTTTTCATTTTGCAAAATTTAAAACTTGAAAATATTGAAAACACCAGTTATGAAAATGGTACAAGCATAACTACTCCTCAAATTAATAACTCGAGTGTAAATAAAGTTCCAAGCACTTCAATGCCTTGGTTAGAGACTGAAGCGGGTAATATAGAAAGTGACAGTGACTTTGTTTATGAATCATTAGAAGAAGGTAATCTAGGGCAGGAAGACTCGGACTCAGAAAGCACATTCATTTAGAATATCTTTTATAGTTTAAATTCATGTTAAAATTACTATATTATTGGCTTTTTTGCTTAAATATTTATACTTTTTTTTAATTGTGTATATACTACACTACACAGTGCTACACTACTTAGCACTGAATTAATAACCAATTTAAACTAATGAAACATTATTATTCAAAAATATATTAGAATTTCATGTAAATTAATTATAAAGTTAGAGCTTTTTTTATAAGGGCTTACTGGCAATATAATTCAACATATGTAATAAACAGTGTAAGACCAATGTAAGTTTTTTATTAAAACATTAATTTTATATTGGTGTTTATACATTGTATTTGTGGTTATAATGATCATATACTATAAATAAACAGAATAAAACAAAAACTCTTCAAAATTATTTACCAAGAAAAATAAAAAACTTGTTTAAAAAGTCAAAAAAACACCAAAAAACATTAAAAAAAACAAAAAAACACGTTTTTTTGCAACTCTAAACACATTAATGAATCATTAATTAATATTAGGCTATGTTGATAAGGAATCAAACTTTGAGTTCATAAAATACTTAAGAATCAGGTCAAGAACATGAAGTTGACAAGGTTGGTACTCTAAACCTAGAATAAGTTTTATCAAATGTTTAAGTATTTAGTTTTTAGAACTTGTATTTATTGCAGTGGTGTCACATTTTAACGGAAATTTTATTTCTGTTGTAATTAATATGTGGCAGATTATTTCATTTGAGATAAATTTGTTTTTCTCTAATGTTTTCAAAGATTTAGCCAAAATCTAGATTGCTCAAACTGCAAGAGCTATAATAATGTTGTTTGTCTATGCTCTTACAATCAAAATGTAATCACCACATTTCTTTAGAAGTGTCAATATAAGACCGAATCAAGCTTTTATGAGCGAGTGTTGTAGATGTTTTTTGGATCACAGATCTGTAAATTGAAATTTCATCAACTGCATTGAGTACAACTTCTGCAACCTTTGCTGTACAACCTATTGGATACCTTTCATTTTCAGCTATCTTAGCTACCATCATACCATCGATTTTTGCATGTTTCAATATGGGATAGTGTAATCATCACTTATTCTATTATCTTCTGAACATTCACTACTAGAATATTCACTACTCAGATATTGTCTGTATCATCAAACAATTGACTATAATTTATTTAATTTTTATCTTTTTTTATGATAGCAGGTGTCATGGATAGATTGTAATAGGCTCTGTCAAAATACTGCTTTGACCTTTGGATTAGACATTTCTAAAATTCATTAAAGAGATTGACTTCCAGATTTTTAAGTTTGAAATTTTTGGAAAATATTTAAAAATTCAAATAATTAATAATTTATATTATTATAATTATATATTAATAGTTTTATAATAATATTAATAATTAATAATTTCTGTTAATAATTATATTAATAGAATACACAACTAAAACTTGTATTTTTATTTGTACTTTGCGTTGATTTAATAACAAATTTATAGTTTTGAATATCAGATTTTACTCTTAACATAGACTAATTCTTTTGCACAGATTTTTCCGCAATACACTATATCCTTATTTTATTCCATAATTGACAAACTTCTATTGAAATTTTTTTAATAGCATCACTTAATCTAGTAATATTACTTTATTCTAAAAAAAAATTATATCTTCAACATATCTGCTTTGTCTAAAGTAATATTGAAAAATCGATTTGTGGCTTTTCAATCAAATCTTCATATATAAGATTTCTTGGCTTTGAAATATTGGAAAGGGGATCAATTTCTCTAATTAAATTATTCTCTAATACAGTTTGTAATATTTAATAGATTTACAATATATAATAGTTAAACAATATGAGTTATTTAATCAAATTTTCAAACTTTTGACAATACTTTAAAATGGGTTTATGCCGAGGTTTTTATTTGTTTATAGTTTATTTTTATAGTCTTGTGAGCTTTAGGTCCACTAATATTTATAGCCCAATTACCACTGCTGCTAAAAATTTTATTTAATGGAAAAAAAAAAATTCTAAAACTTATTAGCATTATTAATTTTGTATATAAAATATAAAATGTTTTTTTGCTGTCAAAGATTATGATAATTAAAATATAATTAATATATTTTGCTATAAAGATTATGATAATTAAAATATAATTTTTTAAAATTTCTTTTGCAAACATTTTTTACAAAATTTTTTTCTAGACCAGATGCAGTATCATTTGAAATAGGAATGGTAAGTTTTGTCATTTTTTTAGGGTAATGCTATAATGATAAATGAATGCTTTTTAAACTAATAATTAAAGCATGTTTAGATAATTTTTTAAAAGCTCTCGACACTGGTCATTTGTTTGTGGTATTTTTATAGATTTACAAAGGGTTTTTGATACCGTTGATCATAACATTTTGATTTCTAAAATATAACACAATGGTATTTGTGGTGTTCTAAGTGACTGGTTTTGATATTATAATACAGATCAAAAACAATTTGTAACAATATGTAATTGTTTCCTATCTTACAGATTGCAAACAATTTGTAAGTATTAATGGTTATAATTCTGCTAATAAATCTGTTGTGTGTGGTGTTTCTCAAGGTTCTGTTCTTGGTCCTCTTTTGTTCTTAGTTTATGTTAATGACATCAACAACTCTATTCGCTTCTCGTCAATTTATCTATTTGCTGATGACACAAACCTATTGCATATCAACAAATTGTATAATTCTCTATGTAAAAAACATCAATTCGGATCTAAAAGATATTGTTCACTAGTTAAATGCTAACCTAATATGCTGTAATGTCAAAAAAAAAACTAACCTTTTTTTCATCTTCTAGAAAAAAACAGCAATTCTAAAATTCAAATCAAAATTAATAATAAACGGTTATATCCTACAAAAGTTATCAAATATCACGGTGTTTTGATTGACTGCAATCATTTGTGTAATTTTCATATTGATGAGCTGCACAAGAAACTAACTCGAGCTAACAACGTATTTTTTAATAATTTGTCATTATTTTGACATATTGACCCTAAAGAATATTTACTGTTTATTATTTTTATCGCATCTTAGTTACTGTTGTCAAATTTGGGGTCAAAATGGCAACTATCACATTAAAAGATTGCTGTCCTCTCAATGTTAATCCATAAGAATTATAAGTTTCCAACCTTTTAAGTTAGAAACATCAGAATTTTTCAAAATAACTAAAAAATTCAAACCTTTCCAGTGCTTGTAAATTTTGCTAATCATCTTTTTGTTTTTGACTCTCTTAATAAAAATTTAAATGGAAAACTTAGTATACCTTCTTTCAAAACTAAGAAGTATGGTAAACATTCTGTTGTCTATCAGTGCATTTGTGAATGGAACAGGAGTTGTATGCGTAGTGAATGAGTTCAAAAAACTACAACATCAAACTCCTTTATCTTCTTTTCTTAATCTTAAACAAAATCATTTTTAAAAAAATTCTGAAAATAATTTTGTTCTAACTTATCAACATGATTTTCACTGAATATATTTAAAATATACTTTTAATTTTATTTAAGTATGATTATTGCAAATATTATCATCGACTTTTTGTTTGTTTATTTTTTATTATTATCATCAAAGTATGATTTTTAAATGAATTTTTAGTTTATGTATATTCTATGTGTGTATGCTTATTATGTATCATATTATATTTAAAAACTGGTGCCACTCCATTGATCAGAATTCTGTTTGGGTGACACCATCCTTATTAATAATTTAGTTATTATTATTTATTTTTTTTTACTATTATATATATATATATATATATATATATATATATATATATATATATATATATATATATATATATATATATATATATATATATATATATATATATATATATATATATATGTGTATATATATATATATATATATATATATATATATATATATATATATATATATATATATATATATATATAATTAATCAATTATTTTTACTTACTACAATCAATAGATTTTTTAATTTTTTTTTATAATTATTATTATTATATTTATCATTATTATAATATTATTGTATGATTTAAAAAAGAGAATAAATATTTTGTTGTTTGTTCTTGTTGTTATACTGTTAACCAGCAAAACTTCTTTCCAAAGTATCTCAATCATTTTTCTGTTATCTTCCTGTAATTGTTTTTCTAATAGAAAGGTTCTAATTTCTCATGTGACTCATAAAATAGGACATTATTTACATCCTATAGGACATTATTTCTTTATTTTTATTTTTTAAACATATTCACTTCCGACAAGGCTTCAAGCAACCACTATTAGAGTTGGAAATTACTGGAAGAGAAAAGATGAAGTTTATACAGAAAAATAACAATGAACAGGCGACTTAAAAGATTGCAAATGAATCAAAAATAAGATGAAGAGAGCAAACTCCAAAGAACTCTAAAGTTTGAGGAAAAAAACTAGACGAATACGAATTTTTGAAGAACTTAGGAACAGTCACAGTAAAAGGATGAGACTTAATGAGTGACGAGTAACACAAGAATGAATTTTAGTAGATGGCACAAGAGATGCTAGTTCTTTAGGGCTGGACCTGTTATAGTATTCATAGAAAAAAGAAAAAGAAGCAACATTACGATGATGTGAAAGTTGTTGAAAGTTGGCTGCAAGTTTCAGAGATTTCTAAAAACATCCAAAGCAGTTCGGAAAACTTAGCGTTTTAAAAAATAGCATGGTAAGGAAGTCAAAATATTCAAATGTTCATTTTGTTCTGGGTTATGCATTTTGCATTTTAGTATTGTGAATGGCTATCAGTAAATATTTGTAAATTTTTGGATTTATGTTGGCATTTTCTTATTAAGTTGTACATTTTTAAGAAATTAAATTAAATTTAGAAGTAAGAAAAAAAAATGTTATGCAGAATACGGAACTAATTATGTTTCTCGGAATCCTGATAAAAAGAATTATACAGAGTAAAATCTAAAAGATATTGAGAAAAATTGAAAGCCTATCTTTTAAAAATGTTAAATAAAAATCAAAAAATATTAAAAAAAGTTTTTAAAAAAGACTATCAAATTTTAAGAAAAAACAAGCTGAAGTTCTTTCTATTCTTTTAAATCTCTGCTTGTAATGAAAATCCAGGACTACCTCCAGCATGTTCAAAACTGCATGCTCTTTCTGAGAGTTTTGCTTTAGCAGTTGTAAACTTTTATAATGAAGATGAAGTTTACCAAATATCACGAAATGAAAAAGATGTCACTCAAATTTAATTATCTGATGGAAAAACAAACAATACATGGTTTATACTATACTATATAAATCAGTGGGATAAACACTTGCAAACTGTAAAGCATATGCAAACATCAAAACAGTATCAAAGAAGTCTACTGTAGCAGAACTCATCTAACACATATCAGCAATCCGTGATATTTTCCTTAAACACACATTTGTAAAGAAAAACCAATCAATAAATTTTAAGAAACTGAAGGAAGTTTCAATGAATTTCAGTTTCATTCTGAAATTGCGGTTTTAGTCAAAATCAAGTTTCTATAATATAATTGTAGTCTGGAACATTGAGTTAAAAACATTTGCTATAGTTTCTTATTCAACTGATCATGCAAAGTCTTCAGTTATACTGTACATTCACATAATCTTTCACTTTATTTCTAATTGAGTCAAAAAAGTACACATGTTCAGTGACAATACCACTTCTCAGTTCAAAAATAAAAGCATTATGGCTGCAGTGGTTGTGTTTGAAAAACATTTTAAGAAAAGTATTTTTTGGCATTTCATTGCAGCGATGCACAGAAAAGGAGCTAATGTTAAGCAAATTGCAGTGCTGAGAATTAAATCTAGTCAATGCGAGATCATGTCAGCAGCAGATTTTGTGTTAGCATTAGAAGATTTGCAAATGTTTGTAATTCATATGTCATTTTGTTTTGTTAATGAACGTTGCATTACTGAACTGATAGCTTTTTTCTGTAAAACAAAATGTTATGAAAACTTTGTTATTTGTGGGTTTTTTATGACTGCCAAATGAATAAATTACAACAACAAAATCTATTTAGTCAAATCTATATACATATATATGTATACATATATATATATATATATATATATATATATATATATATATATATATATATATATATATATATATATATATATATATATATATTTATACACTCTAAGAAAAAATCTGTTATATACAACAAACTGCATCTGTCGCTATTGCACCAACGGGTTTTCCATTATGTTAACGGATTAAAGTTTTAACGGATTGAAGTTCGTCGATATTAGTCTGTTGAAATTACAGATTTATTCCGTTTGTGCAACAAACAATGTGTTAAAATAAAAGAATTATAACGCTAGGCTGTTTTGGTAAAATAAAGAATTTACTATGTCATCAAATTGAATAATTTATTATTCCCTTTATTAAAATTAGAAAGCAATTAGGCCAGATAGAACTGAGATTTCATTACAAAATAGTCCTTATTTTTAGTATATAAATTATTTTATTATAATATTCAACTTTGATACAAGCAGTACTACTTATACAAATTAACTTGATCAGGAGAGATTTTTTAGCAAGTTTTAAAAACGTTTTAACTTGAAAACTAATTAAATAGTTATAATAATTTAATTCAATATAGAAACTTTCAATTACAATAAAAATTAAAAAATTTCTTTAAAAATATAAGTTTTTTTATATATATTTTATTATTACAATTATTATATTCAAGGTCAAAAAACATTTATGTAAAAAAACACACACATGTATACAATTGTTACTATTCTAGGTTTTTATATTTAATACTGTTGTAAATTCATGTGTGTGCATGTTCCAATTCCAGCAACCTGTTGTTGATTATTTAAAGATAAACAAACCTTAAAACACAATAAAGAAAATATTTATTATAAATGATATACCATAATACAAAATGGAAATAAATTTTTACTAATAACCCTGTAAGAAACATTTGTTGCTAGTTCTTTATTTCTAAATTGCTAATGTTATTTTATTAGTTCTACATTTCAATCTGTTAAACAAAAATTAAATGTGCTACGAAAGATAACCTTATCTGCTAAGTTGAAGATTCTAAAATTTTTACACACATCAGTTGTTGTAAAATTTTTACACACATCAAGATTAAAAGAAAAAAAAGTCTCTCACCTTTTTATTTAATAATAATAAACACATTAAAAATATTAATATTAGAATTTAATTTTAAAAAAAGTCACTCACCTTTTTATTTAATAATAATAAACACGTTATTAGTATTAATATTAGAATTTAAATTTGATACCTTATCCCTAAATGCCACCTGTCCAAAGTAGCAACTTCTATACAAATATAAACAAGCAATATATAAACTTAGTTGCAAATAACATAAAAAAATTGCAAGTAAAAAAAAATTAATAATTTTACAACTAATTTAAACTTGCAGTGTGATATAGCATTGCACATGTCTAAAATAGCAAATTATAAAAGCATATACAAACTTAAATATACAAATTATAAGAATCCGTATAAAAACTTTACTGTAACTAGCCTAAATAAATACCCATTAAAAATAAATGCAAGTAAGTATTTTACAACTGATTTATTTTATAACTGATGAAACTTACAGTGTGATATTGCATGCCACGTGCCTAAAAGAGTCTATTATAAAAGCATATAAACAAGTTATATGTAAACTTAACGTCAACTAGCCTAAATAAATATACAAATTAAAATAAATGTAAATAAACATTTAAATTTAAGACCTCATACCTTAATGACACGCCTAAAGTAGCAATTTCTATACAAATATAAACAAGCAATATATAAACTTAGTTGCAACATAAAAAAAATAATTAATTTTTTTATGTTGTTTTTTATGGGTTTTCATTTGTAGGTCTTTTATATAACCCAAGTGGGTTGGCTAAAACTAATAACCTCATAGCTTTTTTTGTCATACATCTTCATGTTGCATTAAAAGCCAAGAAATTAGAGGGAACACTTTTTAAATTTTGGTTTCAGTCTACCCTAACTTAGTAAAAAGTATAAACAATGAAAATTAAACATTAGTTTGATTATTTTTTCCAAATTTTGGATTTCCTTAGGCTTCAAAACTGCTACACAAACTTTTGACAAAGTAAACAAACAAGAAAATAAAAAATTTGCATCCTTGATTATTAGCAATATTAGTATAAAAATTTTTTGTAAAATTATTTTAAGTAAAGTAAAATTTTTTAGTAGTAAATTTGTATTTTTAATAAATTGTCAAGCAAAATTCTCATTTTGATTCAAAAAATTGTGATACATAAAAAAATAGTTTTCAACATTGAAATGCTGACTAATAAACTAATGAAAAATAGTATATCTAATTTTTATTAGTTTCATTATTCCTGGGTTTCCCCTAAAATAATTTACAAAGAATCAGTTGTAAGTTACATCTTGTTTTGGTTTACATTTTTTTAAGTGAATAAAAAACATTTCTTTTCTCTGAACAATAAAACCATATTTGTTGTCAAATATTAATGTGGTAAATTTATTTTAATAAAACTCATTGTCATTATTATCATCATTGTTATTTTATATTAATAAAATCTATATTTCTTAGCTTTTTATGCCAAGTTTTATATTTTTACAAATAATTAATTTAGATAATAATCAATTTAAAAAAGTATTTTTATTTTTTTTTTCTATTTTTGCTAGGAGTTCCTGTTTTATCTTTTGAGTTGTATTTCTTGTAACGAGCTTGAAAAAGAACATATTTTATATAAGCATCTGTTAATGGTACAGTACTCTTGCTAGATGGTATAGACTGTTGTTTGGAATTGTAATTTAATTTTTTATATATTGCAGAATTTATTTTAACTAAATAAAATATTTCCAGAAGAATTCTATCTTCATTTTTAAGTTGCACAGTTTACAGTTAACTCTGACTGATTGCGCTACAATAGCTTTATTAGGCTTAGACACTTAAAATTACTTTCTATAAGAGCAGTTTAACTTATGAGCAGTTTAACTTTAAGATATTTAACTTATTCTTATTTAAATTTAATTTTAATTGATTATAATAACATTTGCAGAAAAAATATTTAGTCGATATTGCTCAATTTATTTAAACAAACTTCAAAACAAATTAGTATGTATAACACATAAAAGTAGTAATTAATAACAATAAATAATAATAATAGATAGTAAAAATAATAATAATAATAATAATAAGTGCAAAAATGATATGCACAATTTAAATGTCAGCAATTAATGGCCCTCTCTAGTGTTGTAGCATGTTTGGGGTGTGTTTATGAAAAAACTCAATCAATATCATGGTAGTTCTGGTGTGATAACCAATTAAGTTTTTTGCAACATTTTTTTTAGATCATTAACTATTTGTCTTGGTCTTGTGTCAAATGATTTCGACCTTGATCAATTGGTTTTTATAAGGAAAGATCATGTAATAGTACACATGCCTTTTATGGCATAAACTTTTGTGATATGTGTGGTTGTTATTTTTCTACCTTTTTTTCCTAATGGTTTTGATAAGGTAATGATCAGATGATACACTTTGGTATGGCAATGCCATACCAAGTGGTTTTATTTACAAAAAACATTTTGAGCTGGCCATTCAAGTAATTCAATTTGATTCTGGATAAAAAAAACTCTTTTGCTTTGATGTATTTTTAGGGTGGTTGTCTTGTTTGAAGATAAAATTTTTTCCTAATCGCAATTTTTTAGTTGAGCTCAGAAGATTTTTATTGAGAATGTTGACATAAACCTATAACATAAACAATAATATATATATATATATATATATATATATATATATATATATATATATATATATATATATATATATATATATATATATATATATATATATATATATATATGTATAAGTATGAAAGTTTACTAATGGAGTGAAATAATATTAAGTACCCTATTTACATTGTTGCAATTTTTAGTTGTAGTTTTTAAACATTCAAGTATTTGCTGTAGTATTTTAAATACCTCTTTTTTTATATGATATGTTATTTTAAACACATTTTATCTTATATATATATGATAAATTATATGGTTTTATCTAATATGTTTATATTTACATAAAGTGTTTCAGAATAGTACTCCATTCACACTTACAATAAATCAAGTGTGTTACATATTCATACAAAGAATACACTGATTAGTTTTAAAATACAAAATATGCAGAATTTATATACAGAATGGTTTGAATGTTCAATTTCTTTTTTAGGGCTTCTACTTTGTTATGGTATGGGGGGTTAACAAAAGCAGAGTAAGTTTTTAACTAAAAAATTTAAAATATATTTTGATTAATAAAAATGTCTGAAATATCTGCCTGATATATGAAAAATCTTCATCGTAATTGTTTTAGGTTTTACTATAACAATTATTATAGATTATTACTTAATAATTTTGAAAACAAAAAAATAATAAGTTATATTAAAAATATGTAAATATTCACTTGAAGCATAATAACTATAGCTATTATGATTATTAGGGTGTCCTAAAAAACGACATTTTTGAAAATAATCTGCTCCCACCCCCTAAATGTGTTCTTATACAATCTATCTAATACAAAAATACTAGGTTTAAATTTTTTTTTGAATAAAAAATATTTTAAGGGGTCCCCCGAGACCCTTGAATATTTAATGAGTCCCTAATAATTTCAAAAAAAAGTATTTCAAAAATATCTCAACCTAATACTCGAATGAATTAGAATTATATACAAATTTCAAATTAAATATTCATTTTGAAAAAAAATTGTTTTTTTGGTTTTATTACATAAAAAACTGCGTTTAACAAAAAACGAAAAAAATGCATTTTTTAAGATTTTTTATCATAATTTTAATAAGTTAAAACTTTTTAGAAATGAATATTATTTTTGAAACTTTTATAAAATTTTGCTTCATTTGGGTACCAAGTTGATATATTTTTGAAAAACTTTTGTTTTGAAAATATTAAGGACTCATTAAATATTCAAGGGTCTTGAAGGACCCATTAAAATATTTTTTATTAAAAAAAAATGTAAACCTAGTGCTTTTGTATTAGATAAAACACATTTAGGGGGGATGAGCAGGTTTTTCTCAAAAAAGTTCTTTTAAGAGCCACCCTAATGATTATTCATATTTTATAAATTTAAATATTGAAAAACACAAGTTTTTTTTATCAACAAATAAAATGTATAGATATAAATGTTTTAAATTTTAAAATGTTTTAAATTTAAACCTAATAAATAAATTATTATATAATAAATACATAGCATGTAAAGTATTTAGACTTAAATATGATATAATGTGAGAGTTAAAGGATTTTCTTCAATGCCTTCAGTGGTGTTTACTTTCTTTGCAGATCAGGAATGAAGATTTTTATTGTTACTAACATCAGAAGATTATTATTTGATATTGCTGCTCCAACAGTTTAAGTTAAATTAAGGGTTTTTTATCAGAGTTTTTTTCTCTATATATATTTAATGCGGATCAATAAGTATATTCCTTTTATGGTTAATGTGGCTCCTATTGTAAAATATGAGACAAAATGGAATGAGACAAAATTAGCTATTACAGTAGAATCCCATTAACTCGGACTCTGAACAGGTATGTATATTACTTAGCGAATGTCTGAGTTAAGCGAAGTTCTTGGTCTGATTTATAAAAGTAAAGTAAAAGTCTGATTTATCTGGGGTCAGAGTTACTGGGATTCTACTGTATTAAGTAAACAACCACAATAAAGATGTAAGTTAATATTGAGTAATTAACTACAATTAAGTTTTAACTTATTCTGGGTAAATTTCTAACCTAGAGAATGTTGATGTTTGATAAAAAATACCATCTTGGTTATTCTTGTTTGGTGGTTTTTGGATTCTGAATTATTATTTTTTCATTTCTTTTGATAAACAAAGTGTAATGTTAATTAAACAACCACAATAAAGACGGCAGGTGATCTTATAGAGGATACAATTGCAAAGTTAAAAAAAAATTAACAACTTTATTAGAAGAAAAAAAATTACAAACTTTATTAAGTTTATTATTTATATCCCATAAATATTAATAATAAACATATTAATATGTTTTAATAATTTTTACATTGTTATCGTGTACATGCATGCCATTTATAAAAGGTATGAGATTGTTGGTCATTGTGGTTCACTAGGTCAGCTTGTTGATGCCATTGTGCTTATCATTTTAGTTATACTTTTGATTTCTTTTTGTTTAAATTGTTGTTCAAATCTAAAAATCATGTTTTTATTTTTTAAGAGAGAAAAAGCGAAAGAAGCATTTGAAGAACTGTTGCAGAAATTTAATGCTCACTCAAAATTCGCATTAATTAGGTTTTGTTTTATTTAGTTTTTTTTATTTTTTATTGATTTTAATTAAATATTTATCTTATTGATTAACTAGCTGACCAGATCTGTAAAATTACAAGTCTTTGTAAGTTTTTTTTCCGCACCAATTTTTTCTATTCTTTATCCTTATATATATATATATATATATATATATATATATATATATATATATATATATATATATATATATATATATATATATATATATATATATATATATATATATATATATATATATATATTCTAGCTATCCGAACCGGTGAACCCGTTCACTAAACTTACCATTTTTATACTTATCTATTCCGCACGAATGATTTATATACTTATTCCATATTTACTTCAGTATTTTTTCTTCAATGGTAGAAAAACAATTCATTTAAAAAAAGAAACTTTTCTGCATATGTAGAACTTATAAGAGAATAAAATAGTTTGTTTTATTTTTATATGCATAACTTAGTTCAGTGATTTATTACGCTGTCATTGGTGTTGTTTTGTGAGGGTTCATATCCCCCCTTAACACAATACATTTTCAATTTTTTTTTATCTGGCTATATATATTTAAAATATTTATATAATATAAATTTTTATATATTTATATAAAAAAATATTTATATATTTATATAAAAAATTTTATATATTTATATAAAAAATATTTATATAATATAAATAATATATATATGTATAAAAAAAAGACTTTTAATTGTTAAAATAAAGTTTTAGCTAGCTTCAGGCTTATTTTTTTTTTGCCTCCACAGCAGCACCTTCTGGAGTAGCAGTACAGGCTTATTAATTTTTTTCTTTAAGTTTCAGACCATAATTTGACCATCCGCAGTTTATTAACACTAATTATCTGTGTACATTTAATAAAATAAGTATCACTATCATGATATATGCGCAACAAATTTATTCCGGTGTTATGAAATTTTTTAAAAATTTTAGGCTTTTTTAAAAACTCTCTTATTTTTATTATACTAGATTGTACTGAACTCTTTTGTTTGCATATATATATAATATATATAGTATATAATATATAGTATATAATATCTTTATATATGTTATGTATATAATATCTATAGAGCTATATGTATTCTGTGCAAAGTGTCACTGATGGTGTGAAGTGACATGTGAAATATGCATTTGGTGGGGTTTTAATACATACATTGACTGAGGGTCTGGGCTGAATCTACCCACACAGATACTTTACTTCCACTTGGTTCTCAGCCTCTTTTTTCATTTATATGTTTTTCATTTATATGGTTCATGTTTTGGAGTTATAGGGTTAAGATAAGGATAAAAACAATTTTCAATCACAGTGGTGTCTTAAGAAGGTGAATATCTGAAGATCATTATCTGTAGATCAGGTATTTTTAGAAGATAATAATTTAAAAAAAAAAAAAAGATCATTTGTTGTGGTAAAATATATATATTTTTTTCTTTATTTTCTTTTTCATCTAATAAAAGTGTTTTGATTTATGTTAGCATTTCAAAAATTAATTTTGCAGCTGTAAATGAAATGTCACTGATAATACTGAAGTAGCTGTCTGGGGTGGCTTTACCAAATCATTGACTAAGTGTGTGGGTTTAAACTCTACAAATGAACTGCATTTAATATGAAAAATTTTGTTTTGTTTTGTTAATTATTCTTTTGCTATATTTTTTCTGGGGTATATTTTATACTTGTTGAAATTAAACAAGGTTAAAGTAAATAAACATTCAATAAAAAAAAAAAAAATTTCCATAAACAACTAAATCAATAAAACAATAAAAATCTTTGAATTTACAATATTAACACACATGACATGTTCACCTTCTATTCTAGATGGTTAACATGTGTACATGTTATATATACTAGATGGTGTATTATACTTCAATAAATACCATCAAGATAGTAATTATTTTTAATCATTGGTAATTAGGAAATTAATTTAAAAAATTATTTTGAAAAATACTATAATCACTTTAAAAAGTGTTTTTTAAAAAAATATATATATAAAAAATTAAAACAAAAAAAAAGTACACACCAAAAAAAAAAAGTAAGAATACAAAAACAAAAGAAGATTTTAAGTTTTTTTTTAAAAAAAATCTCAAACAAAAAATGAAAATAAAATAAGTTGAATAACTAAAAACCTTATTTTAAAATGAAGCTATAGAAGAATTAAAAAATGAAGCTATAGAAGAATTAAAAAGACTTATATAAACTTTTATTTTCTATTTAAAAAAATTTTTTTATTCTATTAATGAATACTGGTTAGATTTTGTACTAAACATTCAGATTTTGCATTAATTACCTTTTTAATTGTTCAAGTTACCTTATATAAGATGAAATTTTAAAGAAACAAAAGCTTTTAAATCAATATCTTTTATTTTCTTCCTCAAAGCAAAAGTTTAGTTTATTTCAGTTCTTGTCTTTTTCATACTCCTATGTAGGTTCTAAGTCTTTTTACACCATACACCACCTTATATTAGTAGTTCGACAATTTCTATTACACCATACCATCCAAAAAAATGTTTTGATATTTAAATCCAAAAATCAAGACCAAAAAGTGGTCATTATGGTAGCTAGATGGTGGTGGTTGCAAGTTTAAATTGCTTAGCAATCATTTAACCTTTATGCTGAATCTTTTGCTCATATTGAGACCAACTTGGTTTTTTTTTTAATTTTAATTCACATCTCTAAGGTTACAGTCAAGAAGACTTTTTAATATTTACGCTTTGATTTTTTTATTTTTTCCATTTTTTTATTTTTTCATAACTCTCTCTCTCTTAATCCTTAATTTTGAAAAGTAAACTTTGTAGAGAAACAGTTTTCTGTTTCTCTACAAAGAGAGATAAGTAAATTTAATCTTTTAAATTTTTTATTAAATTGGGCAAAATGAAAACTAACTTCAAAAATCTGCAATATTTTTGCACCTCGAAGTTTTTATAAAATTGTTTAATTAATTATTAAAAGAACTTATGTTTTTGAACTATCAATGCACCACTTTAACAATTTTTTCTAATAATATATAATAATAATAAAATTTTATTATTTCTAATAAAAAAATTAAGTAACTAAAAATTAAATTGTTTTTTCTAAGACTGTAAAAAAATTCGAGCTAAAGCTTTTTGATTACTTTAATTGTTATCATAAAATGTAAACTTAATGTTTTTTTTTTTTTTTTTAAATGAATTTAGAAGATCGGAAAAGGTTTAAAAACTTAAAAAAAATTTTTTTAGTTGATAAGTTATCTGCCTAAACCCAACCCTCATTTGATGTAGCAGCTCATTGCATGTTTTAACTGTTTGTCAGTCAATCTATGTAAACAGTAAAAAAATTAAAAAATTCAGAATTTTTTTAGTTTTATTAAAAATAAAAAAAAAATTTAAATGTTTTTAAAAATATTTCAACCTATTAGTTATTTAGTATTTGTTATAGTATTTGTTATTTTTAAAAAAATGATAAATTTAACTAGTTTCCTCAATTAATTGTTTTGACATAAAGTGCACTTAATTTTATCTACTTAAAGCAAAAAGAGTCCCAAAATATTGTTTAACTTACCTTACACAGAAAAATAAGTAAAAAAATGTTTTAAATATCGGATTTCTGCAAATTGGTATTGCGAATTCTATTGAAACTTTTAAATCGTTGTTATATAAAAAAAAAGGTCAATTAGAAGTGATGTACTTGGGAAAATAAACGTGTTGTTTTGATACTGTTTATTTAACTTACATTATATCACTTACTTTACCAGAACTTTTTTTAAAATACGATTACTTTTATTTAAACAGTCAGTAATTTCAATAGATTTATTTATATTGCCCTTAAATATAAACGTTTATTTTATATTTTAAAAAAAAATTAAAAATTTAATGTTTTATTAGGTATGGTATCTTTTGGTCATGACATTGGTTGTGTAAAATGACATTGATTGTGTTCTGAAACTAGGATTTTAGATTTAGATTTGTGGTATTACAAGCCTGTTACAGTGCACACAATTTTAATGCATAGTATGTAAGTTCTTAAGTCATGTGTTCTTGAAATTAATAACATCTGACCATGTTATAAATTCACTTAGAGAAATGCTTGCAAAAGAAGCAAAAAATTCCCAGCAATGGTTTTGAACTGAAAACATTTCTGTAGATTCATATGAATTTTCTGTGAAGTATTCTAAATATAAATTTTATTATATAGTTTTAATGTATCCTTGCTTTTTAAATATATATTTTATTTTGTACGTTGTTTTTTTTCTTCGTAACTGTGAAAAAGGGATGATAAATAGGGAGTTGTAGTGGAGGAGATTTGCCCCACTCTTCTTTGAAAAAAAAACTTTTAAATTATTAAATCCTAGATAATTTTTCAAAATCTCATCGAGATATAAAACATTACACATAAACAGTAAGAAAGCAACCTTATAAATTGTGCACTTTTTTTTTATTTTATTACTTTGGTTTTGCGTTAACAAGTGGTTCTAGCATAGTTGGGATTATATCCTAATATACATTTACATCTCAATCTTGTGCAATTCAGTTTTCATTCCCCCATTATGCAATTCAGCTTTTATTTTGTATAAATTATTGTGCACAGGTAAATTCTTAATAAATTTCACTAACATAAGTGGCTTTGCTTCTAATGCATTGTTATTTATAATTATTCAGTCATTACCAAAACAGCCAGCATTTTACAGTCATTAGTCAATTTTACAGTCATTAGTCAAAACAGTCAGCATTCACAATTGTGATGTGAATACAGTTGATTCACAAATGTGATGCTATCAAAATACAGTTCCTAAAAATCTTCACTATTTTTTGTATATTAGAAAATCACAAACTCTCTTATGCATCCAAATACAACTGGCCAATAATATCAAGTAATCAAATATATTTTTTATATCTTTTTTCCTAGTTTTTTTCATTTCATTTTTTTTTTAATTATTATTTTCATTTAGATTATTTTATTATTTCAACCATATCAAAAGTTGCACACAAACCAATAATAGGCTCAAATACTATTTTAATGGTACATCACTGTTTTTATTTTTTTGCTGATATTTCATAATGCCTTTCTACTCAATATAATAATTGTGCAGAAACTTTATAATATCAAATTTAGTGGTGGGTTGTTTATATCCCTCTTAAGAGATATTTCTTAGTTACTTTTGACAATTGCTCTCATTGATATGTCATTTAATAATAATAATAATAACTATTTATTGCTGAAATTTAACAAAATAACAATTAAAATAATTTAAATGTTCATAATGTTAAATAAGAGTGTGTAATAAGTACGCTCTATATCAGCTGGTGACTTTATATTTGCTTTTAATATATTCGTCTAATCGTTATAAACCTTTTTAATTGTGATTCATACTTTAGATTTAAAATGTTTCTTGGACCATTTTTGTTGCTCTTTTTTGAACTTTTTCCAAATGATTTATATCTTGTTGTTGGTTGGGATTCCAAACTGAGACAGCATAGTCTAAATGTGGTCTTACAAGTGATGTATATAATACTTCCAAACATATACTCAGATATATACTTTTAGTGCAGACATCCAAATTTCTAAAAGCTTTAATAACCATTCCAAAAATCTGGTTTGCATTATTTGATACTTTTATGACATGATTGTGCCATTTTAGTTTATTTGTAATAATAATACCCAAATCTTTTTCTATTTTTGTTTCTTGTAGTACTCGTTAGTATTAGTTTGCTTTCCTTTAAGGTTAACTTTGATTAGTGAATCTCCTTATAAAATGAATTTAAATTTGTTTTCTTTATTGGATCCTTTTAATTTATTGTGTTTATCATTTCTCTCTGCAATAAGTTTTTTCTATTTTCTCGCTTCATTGGAGATAAATCTGCGCTAATATATACTTGTCTATAGTTTTCGTGGTAGCAGTTTTTTTCTTCTCTAGTTCATTTAGTTGATTTTTTATTTGGATGTTTTCATCTAGAATCTTTTTTAATACTCCTGCTATAACTTAGTAAATCTGGCAATGTTTGCCTTATCTTTTCTGCCTGAAAATGAAATAGGAATGGAAATGTTATTGGCTATTCATAATTTATCATTTATATCCTTTAATGCTGTATCGCTCTCAGTCATTTTAGTTATATTAGTTCACTTTTTGCACAATATTGGTAAAACACTGATTAAATTTTTTTTAATTTTTTTTTTTTTTGCACTGGTTAAATGTTTTTTTTCGAATTTTTTAAAGTCACTTTTTTTAATACAATAAAATGTCAGTTTTCAAAGTTTTTTTCTTCTTCTCTTAAAGATATATCGTGCTTAGTTCCACCTTTGAAAAAAACTGTCAGTTTGTTACAAGATTTCAGATATTTTTTTCTTACAATTAAAAAAAACTGTTTTTGACTCTTATTATTTATATGCCTTTTTTTAGATTTTTTTTTTTTTTTTCCAAACAGGTTGTATTAAATCTGCCATTTGGTCTTTTTTTTTTCTTCTCTTCTCAAAACTTTTAAATAAAAAAAGAGCTAAAATTGACAATAAAAAGCTTTGTTTATTTTTAATAATAAACTTTTTTGTTTTTTGTTTTTTCAAAAATTGTGAACTCTTAGAATTGACTTCAGATTTATTTTGCTTTTGAAAAACATCCAGACAGCATTTGTTTTTTTTAATTATTATTATTTATAAAAAGATCAGTATCTTACCTGTTTACTTAAGATTAGTAATATGTAATATACTTGTAAGTGTGAATATAATAACATTTTTTAGAACATATACAATTAATTGACATAAAGCAGTTTTAAAAATATTTCTAGCTTTGACACGGTTATATGTATAAATTTTCACATTTAAATTTTTTTTTTTTGTTTCTGCATATATCTATAAATATTGGTAAAAACATTGAAGTTAAAACTCCATTAACTCCTAATAACAACCCTATTTCTTATTATAAACATCATTTTTAGTCATGTTTATGAAAGCAGCCATCATGCTGGTATGGAAGCGCTGTGTATCAGTTTAATGAACAATTTGCTAATGACTGAGGTATAAAAAAAAATTATTTTTAATTTAGGACTTCAAAGCATTAAGGAAATTAAGGTAGATGTGTAGAGCCTATTAACCAAATTGAGTTTAGTAGTTACCATAGTGATATAAATTGAGTTTAGTAGTTAAATTTAAACATAGTGAATTTAAAGTAATAGTAATGCCCTTGTTGCTCAGGTTATGTTTTGTTATTTATTATTTGTTGTTATTATTTTTACATTCTAGCATCACAATGTCATATTCAATTCTAATTCTTTAATTCATAGTCACTCAAGTTATTATCACTTTAATTATTATCACTTTAGTATTTATCTTCTTTAAAACATTTTAAACTTTACTGTGTAAAGACACATTTTATTTCATATTGGAAATATATATATTTAATATAAAATATATTAATAATGAAACTTTTTAATTACCTTTTTAGTACCCAGATTTTGAACAGTGCCAAAACATTTCATCTTTGGCATTAAAATATATTGAATTTGTTGTTGGTGAAACTCACATTCTATTGGACTCAGATAGGTCAGTTTTTATTTTTTTATACTGAACTTAGATTTAATTTTAAAATAGACTTTTAATAATTATTAATTACTTTAATTTAATATAAATTATTAATGTAAATATATATAAACACTATAAATTATTTAGAATGAGTTTTTTAAATCGCGCAGGCTGATTTAAAAAAGACCATCCTGTCAGCGTTTTTTCCTGTGCTGGCATTAAATCTCAAACAGAGAAGACTCTCTGTTTGAAATTTAATGCCAGAATATTCACCCTGATATATATATATATATATATATATATATATATATATATATATATATATATATATATATATATATATATATATATCAGGGTGTTAGCCAGTAAAATTCAAAATATTTTGAATTTTACTGGCTAACACCCTGATATATATATATATATATATATATATATATATATATATATATATATATATATATATATATATATATATATATATATATATATATATATATATATATATATATATATATATATATATATATATATATATATATATATATATATATATATATATATATATATATATATATATATGTATATTAGGGTGTTAGCCAGCCTAATGGCACCGCTAATAGCACAAAATTCTCAAAACTCAATAACCATATATCAATAGAAATTCCCAATATTTTGTAGAACAATAACAATAAATATTCCCAACATTGCAAAAACACTGTAAAGAATATATTCCTGGCTAACACCCTGTATATGTATATTTATGTTCAAGTACTTGCATTTATCTTCGTTAAGAGATGAGATTAAATAAAGTGAATAAAATCAGAGCTATATAAATATGTGAATTACGTTAAATAAAAACAAATAACTTCATAATGCTTGTATTTACAACTTAAAATTTCACAATTCTGCAATCATCAGGTAATAAAAAAAAATTAGAATGTGTGTATTACCTGATGAATTGAAAATGTTTACAACGATGTTTCAAGTTATACACAGTTTTTTTTTTGTTTTTTTTTTGTTTTTTTTTTTGAAAAGTTTTACATTGGGAGTGCCAAAAAATGAGGCACAGTCGCACCTAATGAACACAAACAATAAAAATTTACAAATTAATTTGTAAAAGTACAAAAATAAACACTGTTTATTTAATATATTATTATTATTATAATTTATTTAATAAATTATTATTTGGAATGAGACTAAAATAAAATTCAAATGCAGTATGTTCTTAAGTATTGCTAAATAAAGTTAGTACAGGTACCACTGTTTATGGTATAAACAAAATAGGAATTGTCGCCATTCCCTTGAGTCTACATTGAATTTCAAAAAATCTCTATATTTAATATTTGGTTGTTTAGAGTTAAGAGTGATTTGTCTTTAAATTTAGGAAAAACAAAGTGAGACTTTTCCTCGTATTTTTCAGAACGAGAATTGTTCTAAGACATTCTAATTACAAATCTTGATCAACTAGGCCAAGATTTCTGCCTCTTTCCGGAGTTCTGAGCAAACTTTCATTTTTTCTGAGAAAACTCCCACTGTGCTTTTGTCTGTGTAGAAAAAGTTTTTTCATATTTTTTCCCACAAATTAGGTTTATTCTTTAACATGATTTATTGCAGTAGATAATGCTACAGCAAATTAAAATGTTATTAACTATTTGGGCCCTGAGTCATACTTGATTGGAAAAAAAAGATTCACTGGTCTATTAGCTTTCTCTGTCACCTTGTAGACATTCAAAAAACTTTTCTGGTTTTTGTTTCTATTTGCCTATTGTCTCTATTTACCCCATTTTATGGTATCTTATTAAACAAATTTTTTATTTTATATTCAGTTGCTCTAATAATTACAAGTTCTTTTATCAGAAAAATCTTCCTAAGCATTAGAAAAATCTTCCTAAGTATCAGAAAAATCTTCCTAAGCATCAGAAAAATCTTCCTAAGCAGTCCTAAGCATTAGAAAAATCTTAGAAATCATTAAAGACGATATTAAATTTTAATTCTTGAATTAATTAGATATAAATTGTAAAAATTTAAGTAGGCTTCCAAAACAAGAACTGGTTACTTCTAACATGCTGCGGCATAATAAAATTACCGCATAATAAAATTACCGGCATAATAAAATTACACTAATACTACTAATAATAACAGCTTTGAAAATTTTGAACTTTTGAAAATCCACATGATGTTATTACTCTTAGGAATTTTTATGTTAGTTTGTGAGTTAATGTTTCTAATTTTCCTATAAAAATATTTAACATTTACCAATTGATTATCTTAAAATGAATACTCTAAACTTTTATGTTAAAGTGTCTTTTTTAACAAAAAGTAGCAATAGCCTTTATATTTAATTACATATATAGTTATAAGTTGTTTATTTTTGTATATATGTTATAAGTTGTATACTAAAGGAATTTCATTACAGTAAAATTGTATAATAAACTATTTAAAATATCAAGATTGCTTTGTTGTTTGATTAACTTATATAGTCATTGCTTCATGATTATTTTTGTGGTTTGATTAGCATATATAGTTATCTCTTCAAATTACTTTTTGGTTTGATTTACTTATATAGTTATCTCTTCAAGATTATTTTGTGGTTTGATTTACTAGATCATTAGCTTTATTATTACAAGTTTTCTCTTAATATTAGTTTGTTTGGTTTAAACAAGGTTTTCCTTCTAGGTTGCTTGCTGGTTTAAATTTTCTTCGATTTTGGTTTCTAAAAGATCCTTTGCATGTAAACAAGGTAAATATTTTTTTTACTTCAAAATATAATTGATATATATTATTAAGATATTATTTTCTTATATTATTAAACTTTAAGTCTGTTAAAATTAATATATATTAATTATGTAACAATTGGTATAATTTATGACTAAAATCTTTCGGTTATAGACTGGTATTTGGAGTAAGACTAATGAAATTGAGAAATGTTTAAACATACTTCAGCATGGTATAGATATTTCCAGACATGAGTTTGAAGAAATCATTAAAAACGGGCTATCAAAAGCAGATATGGAAAAGTTACAAGGTTTTTGTTTTTCATTTTTTGAGTATTATTTAGTAAACTTAATGTTAAAATTATTTAATAAATATATTAAAGCATCAATCTTAATTAATCCATTTATATAGAGGAAAAGTTATTAAAAATTAGATCAAAAATTATTAAATGCATAGATTTTATAATGATAAAAATACATTTTGTTTGCTGTTATTATTGTTGTTTTTTTTTTTTTTTTATTATTTAAATTAAATAATTACACGATTTATTTTGTAATTTTAGTATCTTTATTAAACTTCATCATAAAAACCACTTATAAATTTGTAAGGTTTTTTGTTTTATAATTACTATTAGTTTAAGGGACAGCCTGGGAATATAGTAAATAACATAGATTAAACAGGTACACTACAATTAATCAAGTCTTACAAACACATTAAAAGTTGTTTTTTCAACTTATTACTTATACATTACAGTGATAGCTTTACCTTCTTTAAAAATTTTAAACTTTAAAAGTTATTTTTATACTTAATATTACCTTAAACACTTATTTTTTTTTTTTTTTTTTTTTTTTTTACTTTTCCCACTCTTTTTATATTTATATATTATATATTTATATATTTCAACAATAAAAAAATGATTATTGTCATTCTATATTTTTGCATAGAATTTTTATTTTTTAATAAAGTTGAAAAGTATTGAAATGTTTATCGTTACCCAAGATTATTAGTTTCTTCACATCTGACTCATGCTTAGAAACCACTATTTGATTTGAAGACAATTTATTTTATATGTTCTATTTGAGTATTCTATATATTTATACAAACCCAATTAGTGCTGAGTAAGTCTTTTTGTGTGTGATTTTTCTAAAGTTGAAACTTTTTGTAAAAGTCGTTTTTGCTAAAATAATACTTGATCCTCATTTGTCGCATCAGAAGTATTAATTTTTGCTGCAACTTCCATTACTTTTTTTCTGTTTTGCAATTTAAACTGTTTATGAACTTATATTAAAAGTTTTTTTAACCAATAGCACTTAGACAGCACACTTTGACTTCATCAAAAAGTAAAAAGTTGTACTAGTGGTTTTCTTAAAGGGAAAGAAAAAGAAAACTTGATTTTAGTAAAAAAAGATTTTTTATTTTTATTTTGTTTAGAAAGTACTATAATAAACAAAATCAAAAATCGTTCCTGCAATAGTAATTTTTAATATGTACTTGAATATAACTTTGTACATTGATTTGATTTTGTTGAGAATTTAAATTATTTTTTTCGATGTTTTAAATATTTATTTTTATGTAAAAATATTTATTCATAAACAAATAACCAAATAACCAAATAAACTTGCATCAAATATTTTAAGTATCTTTATGATTTTTTTTTATTTTTTTTTCTAATTTTTGATGACATGTAGTTTTACTTTTTAAGCTGTTTCAAAAATGATATCGGGTGGAACAAGTTTAAACAGCATGGAAGATACTGAAAAAATAGCGGTATGATTCATTTATTTGACAAAATCTTTATAAAATATACATTTACTTTTTACTTTTTTGTTTGCATTTTATAAACATATTTTTACTTAGTTGTTGATAATTGCTGAATAAAAATCTGCTACTTAAATTTTGAATTTCCACTTTTTAATCTTGAATAAAAATAAATGCATTATTTAAACATTCTTAGAGATATTTTATTATTTAATATTATTTTGAATAATATTAAAATATTTGAAAAATTTAGGAACATTTGATCCTAGTTCTATTCAGGGTTCTTGTCAGGGATTGAAATCTGTTTCTTGCAAACCTGCACATGATGTATTTATTGATGTTGATGTGAAAGATTCTGAAAAAAAAAAAAATTCTATTTTGATAAAAGAATTTTTATTCCCACAAAATCTAAAAAGTTTTTTTTCAATTCTAATTCCTAAATGGAATCTGTTTTTAAATTTAATTAATCTAAATAAATTTGGCATACTCAATTTGCGAATTTAAATTAATTTAGCCTATACTATTTGCAAATTTAAACTAATTTAGCATAAATATTCGTATTGTCAATACAATTTAATATATGCTTGTACCATTCTAATGTTGAATTACTTTATATCTAAGCTGGCGCAGGGGGACGTAAGCTTTATACCAATTATTTTGATTTTGATAAATTAAATATTAAAGTTTTTCTAGATGTTTTCTATTTTAACCTTTGACTGATGTTCATTTTATAGTAACACACTTTTCAAAGACCTTTAATTTCAGAAACACAAATTCATTAGTAAAACCTTAATAGTTTTGATATAAGTTTTATTTATAGTTTTGATATAAGTTTATAAGTCTAATGTAGAATGTTAATTTAAATATAGTTGTATTTCTCCCACACCTTATTTGATATTTGAATTTTAGTTCAAAAGAAAAAGTTTTTATTGTGAGTTAAAAATAGTGATTAAGTTAATCTTAAACCACCTTTGGAAGCGCACAGTGAATCGTCTCACGCAATCTAACTAGACAAAAACTCTTCACCAGATTGTTTTGGTCATGAAAGGTTAAAATAAGTACTTTGTCTTTTTATTGAATATTATCTAGGGTTTAATAACTTAAAATTTATTTTTTTAGTATTTTTTTATGTCTAAACGGTAGTTAATGTGTAGCATTAACTACCGTTTAGACAGACATTTTTGGAGTAACACCACAAATATAACATTTTTGTGTAGCCTTTGCATCAGTTAAAGCATTTCATACTTTTCCGTCTGTCATCGTAAGTAACAGATTGTGTTTCACAATAAATTTAAATTCACCAACAGTACACAGTGTTGGAAGAAATTCAGATATTTTCTTTCAAGGCGTTGTAAATTTCTATTACAGTTAATTCCTGTGTTTCTTTTAAAAATATGAATTCAATTGGTCGGCAATAAAGTGTTGACCGTGGTGGAGGATTTTTCCAAAAAATAGTATTACAGTTATCCCTCAATTTTAATAGGACAAACAAAACACAAACAGGAGCTCATTATTAGCATCAGAGTTCTCAAATATTTGTTTGTAGGTACTGTGGTCAGAATATTCATCACACCCCCATTTGTTTATTTTGGTGAGTGACAAATTAGAGGGTGCACATTTAAGAAATTGACTTGGTGTTTTAATTAAACGTTTAGTTGTTTTATTCAATATGGCTTGAAGTTTAATTTCAGCTCGTGTTTCTAATGCAAAAATATAGTCTTTTGGAAGGTATATCAACTTTTTGGATTTACTTAAATTATTGTAAGATGCAAATAATTTATGTCCTGCTTTCAGTGACCCCTTTTTGTTTGGTCATTAGAGTGAATAGTACACTTAGAGGCTTCAAAATAGACCAATGCTTCATCGTTACTTAACTGCCTGCCACCACAAATAATATCAGTAGATTTTGTTGGCTTTTTTATTTCTGAAGAAATTTAAAAGCTAACAAAACAGAAAATTAGTTCGACTCCCACCACGTCCCTGGAAGTACCGCGCTCAACTTAATTTCTCCGCGCAGCGGTCTTGCTTGTTAAGGTTCGTGTTTTTTGGAGTTAAAGAGTTGAGAGAGGGTTGTACCACGATTTATAACAGAAAAAAAAATGAGTAGCCTTCTCGACTGTAGTGGCCCCCTCGGGCCTTGGGGAGGTGAATAAATTAAAAAAAAAAAAAAAAGTTTCAATTTTACAACATTTTAATAAACTTGCTGTCTTATCGGTATTATAAACTTGCTGTCTTATCGGTTTAATTGTTTTTTTTTATATAACTCTTCTTTAGCTTAAATGAAAGAAATCGTTAAGAAGAGTAATTATAACAAACAACGCAAAATAAGCTAATAAAGATTAAAATTGCAAATACTAGTATCTAACGCCGTAGATATAATTTATTAGTATTACACCGCAGATAATAGTTAATATTTATTAGTATTTTGCCGTAGTAAAATAGTCGACAGATGTCAATCCATAACTATTTTCTAAAATATATTTACACATTACAGTCATGTAATAAAGTCCGGTATGGCTTTCAATAGTTTTCAAAAAAATTTAACATCAATATTCAGCATAATCCGTATTTATCGTTTAAAAAAACGTGAACTTAACTAAAGTGCGGACTTAGTTAATTAATTTAGGACTTAGGACGGAATGCAAGAAGCAAACTTAAGTCAAGTTCGACTTAAACTTTATTTTGTAACCAATAGCGGCAGAGTATTTTTGGAGGGGTAAACCCATACTCTGTCGCTATTGGTTTTAATTTAAAGTTCAAGTCGAGCTTGACTCAAGTTGGCTTCTTGCATTCCATTCTTAGTTAATTAAGGACTTAGTTTTTTAAGTTCGTGTTTAAAAAGGCAAGAGCTTACTGTACCAAAGAGTAATTATATTTACATAAACATAAACAATAGCATTTGATTACAGGACAATTAATACGTTTTTTTTTTGTTTTTTTTTAATTTACATTTTTCCATAACTAAAAAATATTTATTTCCATTTTATGTCTTCAAAAATATTTTTTGTAAAATGATATTTGGTTGGCTAAAAAGTAATGAGCGTTTTTTAAAAATAAATTTATAATTTATTTTTAATTCCATAAATAATTTTCAACAATATAAAACATGGTTGTTTATGAACATCTATGATCAATGGCAATCTTCATAAAAGTGACAACCTACATAAAAGACCACAATCCAGAAAAAGTATATCAGCTTAACGCAATAAATATCGAACTAGTATGATGGAGAGAATAGGCTGTATTTATCGACCGCACGATAACGACGTTGGATTGTTAAAACAAGTCATCAAATCGATCGTTTCAGCAAAGTAGAACTTGTAAAAACTCGACTGCGCAATTATCCACGGAGATTTCGACATTAGCCATACATAACATATGAAATACTTGAAACTGATATATTTTTCTATTGTTTGTTTTTTATTGTTATTGTTCATAAACTAGATGTTGTGATTATAATAGTATAAAAAAAATTTAAGAAAGATAATTGCAACATTGTATGGTTTTAAATTTCAATATTATCGATTGAAGGTCGTTCGTATTTTTTTTTAGACTGTGCAATAAAATAGTAGTGAAAATCATTTTTTATGAAAAGGTCAAAAAATAATTAAATTTTATTACTAAAATTTTTTTTTTTTTTTGAAGCTCTACATTAGTATTTTGTGGCATGATCTTTATTTGTAATAACCGCCAAGCATCTTCGTTGCATGGAATTAATAAGGTTCCGACATCTTTCGGCAGATATATTTTGCCATGCTGACTGTACTACGTCCCGCAATTGACTACAACCTCTTGGATTATTTTCAGAAACTGATTGTTTAACATCAATTCACAAGTTTTCAATCGGATTGAAGTCGGGGTATTGTGCTGGCCACTCCATTACATCGATTTTGTTCTCATTAAACAACGATTTGGCTAACTTGCTCGTATGTTTGGGATCGTTATCCTTCTGGAACAAAAATTTTAACGGTATTTCTTCTTCAGCATAAGGCAGCACGATCTCTTCAAGAATTTTTACATATACAAACCGATCCATGATATCTTCTATGCAATTTATCGGTCCAAGACCATAGTAAGAAAAACAACCCCATATCATTATTTTTGAACCTCCATGTTTGACGGTCTTTAATGTAAATTGTGGCTTATATGCTGCACCCGTTGGTCTTCTAACATACTGTTTACAAACATAGGAAACAAAAATTTCAATTTTGCTTTCATCAGTCCACAAAACATTTCACCATTTTTTCTTTAGGCCAAGAAGCATGCATACGTGCAAATTTTAAACAATTTTTGATGTCTTTTACTCAAAAGTGGCACTTTTCTGAATGTTCTTGCATTTAAATCGGCATGTGTTAATCGTCTTCGAATAGTTGAGGTATTAACATTTAATTCTAGCCTTTTTTTAATTTTTCTAGAAGTAATAAATGCCTCCTTTTTCGCTAACAATACAATTCGACGATCTTCAATAGCGGTAGTTGATCTTTTATTTTCACGTTTTCTGGTTTGGGTATCCATTTTAAAGCATTACAAATCATTGTTGGTAAACATCCAACCAGTTCTTGTAATTGTTTGTAGACATTAAACCATGATTTTTAAGATTTATAATTAAATTACGAACTTCTTCAGTATAATGCTTAAAGCGCCCCATGTTTCTCTAAATTTTCAAAATTTTAGTAAGTGTATAAATTTATCTAATATCAAAATTAATTACTTACTTATTGCTTATTATTAAGAACTAATAATAATTAGAATTTAATAAGTACAGCAAATACTACACAAAAATTAATTTTTCACTACTATTTTATTGCACAGTCTAAAAAAAAAATACGAATGTCCTTTAATGGATAATATTGAAATTTAAAACCATACAGTGCTGCAATTATCTTTCTTAATTTTTTTTTATACTATTATAATCACAACATTTAGTATATAAACAATAACGATAAAAAACAAACAATAGAAAAATATATTTTGATGTTCAAAGTTTGTTTATAGAAAAATAAAATGCGCACTACTATTTTACTGCACACGACTGTACCTTTAATTAAAACATGCTTCAAACACACAAAAAGAAAGAAAAGAAAACTTTGATGCAAATATCTAGCAGTTGGTCGATGGATGCATGAAAGTATTCGCAAAGAGCATAAAGCAGCCTGCAAAGAGCTTGTTAAAGTTGTGAGGTCAGCAGTTGTTGAGTTCGAGAATGAAAGTGCAGTCCGTTTTTAATTCGATCCAAAACGTCGTTATAAGGGGATGTCCATAAAGTGCGTACGCTTTTATTTCGACCCTCCCCTCCTCTCCTCCCCTCATCCTTTCCCCGCTTTTTTTTTTTATGCGCTTTTTTGAGTACCCTCCGCCTCTTTAGTACGCTTACGCTGAATCTACGCTTTTAACTAATATTTTATGATATCTTTTATATTTAGTGTCTCCATACTTTTATAATTGACCCCCTACCCTCCATCTCGTATACGCCATTTGTAGACCCATCCGACCGTACGTACTTTATTGACAATTCCTAACCAAGTCAAACAGAAAAACAGAGAGCGGTTATCAGCATTAACAAATCAGCATGTAAAGATTCACAAGCGGAGACCACAAGGTTCAGTTTTAGGTCCACTTCTTTTCCTCATTTCTATAAACGACCTTCCATTCGACATGGCGCATTATATAAAGATGTATGCAGACGTCAGTAAGAATTTAGGAATTATCAAAACCAAAACCATGTGATAATACTCCAACAAGACATACGCCAGGCAGTCGAATGGTACAAAAAGTTGTTTATATTTTTTAACCTCAACAAATGCAAAGTCATGCACTCTGGTCGCTCAAAAAATTACTCAATGCTTGACATGGACGGCAATCGAAAAGAACGTAAAACAACAACTATGGAATTTGATTTAGGTGTTACATCTTGTGGCATCAAGGTCAGTTTTCATTTCAACAATATATTTAGTATTGTCTATTACCTCTTCCCAACGCTTAGGCAAGGAGCGAATGCCGTTGGTGTAGAACACTTTAAGTTCAAGTCAAAGAGGTGATTGAGATGATGTCGGAGTGCTTTCTTGCAAATAAGATACAATTCTTTCAGGTCAAGCTCCATTATTTGTCGTGTCGTGTTTCTAGTTAAGCTTAAAGCTATTGGGTTAAGTACGGTAGGTTGCTGATACGTTGCTGATAGGTTGCTGTCTTTAATGTAGTGTTCGACGGAAGGAGTTTTCAATAAATCTTAAATAATTAAAACTCTTTAATGCTTCTAAAACTCGCTAATTTTCAGAAAACCACACATTACTTTTTAGTCCAACCTATATATACAAGATATATTTAAAAAAGCAATATTTAATCTTGAGAAGACACTTTTGATTGTACTTAATTTTTTTTAACTCTCTTTCTTTATTAGACTATTAAAAAAGCAGCATGTTTGCTCGAATTGATGTCCAGCATTGTTGCTAGAATTCGAGAGATTGCATATAGCTAGATGATCGCTCAAAAGGTTTTTGGACGGTAAACGATTTCATGTCAAGTTTAACGCATTTTTCGTTTAGACGATAATATTCAATAATTTACTGTCTGCATATGTAAAAATATTGTTAGTTGTGAATGAGTAACAGTAGAACGCAGTGACGATATGAAAATTTAATCATTATAGCTGTTACCATGCATCTCAGGTTAGCTTTAAATTGCCACTTTGCTAAGTTCCAGGCTTTTTTAAATAACATTGTAAATTTTATGAGAAGCTATATAGAAGGATATATATTGAAAATTGATTTAACTTCAGAAAATGTTGTTTAATATTTTGATAAAAAAAATCATAGATTTTATATGTTGTTTTAGTCTTACGTTACGTCAGTGGAGGCGGTTATAATAGTTATAGTTTTTATTTTGTGTTTTTGTCATTAATTAGTAATTAAAACTGAAAATATGTAAAACAAAAGTAATGGTTAGGTTGCTATTGGTGTCAGACATATATACGATACGATTCTAATTTTGGCGTGCTTATAATATTATTCATGTTTATTTAGTATAATATTTTTAATAAATAATTTTCTTTCAAACACTGTTATCTTAAACTCACTGTAAAAAAAATATTTTTTCATTAAATGAATTAATATATTATCATCTTTAGACGTCGCGTTTCCAACAAACTTTTGGCTCAAATTTATAAAGTAATCATTGAAGACATTAAACAGTTTTTTTTTATAAATTTATTAAATATTATTTAAAAGCAAACAAATGTTTTTTGTATAACATTTCTCATTTTTATTTCAAATATGCAGCTCATTTTTCACCATCGCGTCAAGTTGTAAAGATATTTAGGTTCAAATCTTTAGTATTTGGGGTAAAATCCCCAATTTTATCAACAAAATTTTTTTTTCAAAAGTACGTCAACCTGGGTCTCAAAAAAAATCGTATTTTCATCGAGATTTTAGAAAATATAAATACTTTTTTCCTTAAAATTTATTGACAAAAAAGTTATGTGAAAAAATGTTAAAGACTCTTAAAAAAATTTCAGCACAATGTCTTTTAGCAATAATACAAAAAGTACTTATTTTTATTACAAACAAATATTATTTTAAAATCTCTATGAAAATACACTTCTTGTTTTTTTGACAATATTAGGGATTTTCCCCCAAATGCTAAAGATTTGAATCCAAATATCTTTACAACTTGACGTGATGATGAAAAATGAGTTGTATATTTGAAATCAATATGTGAAATGCTATACAAAAAGTATATAGCTTGCTCGGCAACAGAAAAAAAAAAATTTATATAAATACCGTTATATTCTAAAAAATAATTGTTTTACAGGTGAACTTTAGTTTAGGGTTGCCATAAATATCTCTCTCGCCAAAAAGCTAAAAATAACTAAATATCGATATTTTTATTATAAAAAAAACTGAAAAACAAACGATGTGATAGATAATAGATATTTTGCACGGCCGACGACACCGGGAGGGGCGATAGGTGTCACTTTTTTAGAAAATTAAAGATAAAGAGGATTTTCTTTTAGAACTTGACGAATGTGCAATATCCGTGTCATGTTTCAAGGGCAAAACATTCGTATAAATGATGATTCATTTTAGAATTTTTCGTCTCGGCGCATCTGTATCAAGTCTAAAGTAAAACTTTAAATTAGTTTTAAATAATTGAACATATATATATATATATATATATATATATATATATATATATATATATATATATATATATATATATATATATATATATATATATATATATATATATATATATATATATTACGCAGCCGTAGCGCAATGGTAAGCGCGCTTGCCACAGAAGCTGATGATCCGTGGTTCAACACCACTTCTAGGCAAGTTTTATAACATTGGTAAGGAAGGAAGCCTGAACTTCCTTTCAAATGCTCTTTCGCGTTGTTCCTTGATTAGATCGTAAGGACTTCTTGGGGCACCTAAAATTAAAAAAAATAATTGAACTAAAAACAACTTTACGGATTATCCGCTCACGCTAACAGTTTGTTCAGTCATTCATTTAGTCATTCATCTCTTTCACTCTACCATGACTTAATTATCATTCTTTTTTTGTCTTATCATATTTTTCAGACGTTTTTATTTCAGATTTTTGAAACAGTTTCTTTTTACTTTTTTGCATAATTTTAGAATTCAATGCATGAGATTTTATAATTAAAAACAAATTGAACAATTCTTGTCACCGTGTATCACCGTGCGCCTTTCTGTTTACTAATTTTTTCATTAACGTGATGGTGTGTATTATGCGTAGGAACAATATCTCCTTTTCATTTAAATATGTAATGGATTTTTAAAGGATATTTGGTAGATTTATTTTAAAAAAAACATAATACTCTGTCATTGGAACTGACTATTTTGTAAAAATTAGTTCCAATGTTGAAAAAAATATTTTTGGTAATGGTAGCATTTTATGCTAAAATGTTTTATAATGCTAATAACGTTTTTTTTTTTCAAATTTTCCTTCTTCTGTCATTTATATTTTGTTATATGTCTGGCTTGTTTAAATACCTAGATATTGGCTACATTACACTTTTTATTCCAACAAAAAGCTTCAATTTAAAAATTAAAACGAGGTAATATTTTTATTATTTGATTTTGTTTCAGCATAAGAGCCAGTTTGATTTAATTTGATTGCTAGATTTTTTTTAATGAAATAATTTTCAATGGAATTATCCACTATCTATGAATCATCTCCTCTACCGGTTCTCCACTATCTACTAGCGCTAGTACGGTTAATATAACTTTTATATTTTGAAACCTGACTCAAAATTTTCTGTCGACACATTCTTAAACAGTTGTGTTTGTTTTACATAAAATGCTACTAGTATTACTGCTATTAGTAGAAAGTAATAATGTAATATAAATAGCTCATTAAGGAAGCGTGAGCTATTTTTAATTGTGCGGCCGTAGAGCAATGGTTACAGCGCTTGCTTTATAAGCACACTGTCTGTGTGTGTAAAAAATGGAAATTAGGATTTTTTTTGTTTTGTTTTTAACTTTGTTGTTAATAAGTCCTGTTAATAAATCTTTACTTTTTGCAAAAGAATTACCATTATTGAATATTGAAATTTACTAAAATGTACTGAAATTAACATTACTGAAATTATTTAAGATGGTAACGATTACTGAGTAACCCTAGTAATCGTATTTCTTCAATAAATATAAAATTACAAATACTTCTAGTACTATACAACTTCTAGATTGGAAAAAAAAAAAAAAATTTTTTGTTTTTCGTCGTTAATAAGATTTGTTTTTAAAAAAATACTTTCGGGTACAACTTTGTAAAATAATGGCGTTTCAAAAGTGAGAACTTCTTTTCTCAAATCCGCCTTATTAAAAATTATTAAAAGTGTTGTACAGCTTAACACATACATGATTAAATACAGTCATAATGTTCCCAAGCCTCTATGTGAACATTGCCCACTTATAATTAGACAGTTATTTATTTATTTATTTTTTTGCTTATAACAACATGTCGTTAAGCAAAAAAACACGTCGCCTTTATTTATTTATTTTTTCACGCTTCTATATGACCAAGCTTTTTTTTTTTCACGCTACTATATGACCAAGCATTTACTAAACCATCTAAAGGTTGAATTAACAATAACATGTCACTTCAACTTCTGAAGCAAATTATCAACAGCATTAAAACAAACAAAAAATCAATTTGGAGGAACATTTTAACTGAAAAAATCATATACGTTTATGAACAAAACTTTCCAAAAAAGACCAGATCAGAGTTTTTCTCATTGTTTTCTTATTGGAACATTTGTCAGGGCCAACGACACCGGAATTGGGGGCCAATTGCCCCCTCCACTTTTTTTCTAAGGGATCTTTATTTTTTTTAAAGACGATTCTAGATATAAACGACTTTTTTTTGAAATATACGATTGTGCCCCCCACTTTGAAACCCGTGTCGTCGGCCATTAGTAGCATGCGTTATAAGTAGCCAGCAGGTAACTTTCCAACATAAGATATAGTGACTAGCCATCGGCAATCAAATTTTGACGGCTGTTACTAATGTTCCTTTAAGTAACCGATTAAAAATTTACAGTGGACCGCCTAAAATGTTTATATAGGTCCACTGAAATTCCACTACAGAGTCTTTGCTGGGGAGGTTCAGTAAAAGAATTACTCAAGCTTAAATCGTTACTTCGAATGTCTTTAAATTAAATTTCTTCAAAATCTATTAACATTAACACGAAATAATTTAAATTCACAAAGGATTCACAACTTTAGTTTCTATATGTTTGTGGTGACATTTTAATGACTTTGCTTTTGTTGAGTCATTATGCTTTATTTTATGTCTATTTGAAATGATTTATATAATTATAATTATTCTTATCTTTACATTTTGGTCAATGTGTGCGCATGCGATTGCCCTATTCTTTTTTATGTTTTCAACCTTTATTCAACTTTAATCAACCTTTTTTAGTCAAGCTTGTCTTTACCAGTTTGTCGGGACCAGGTTTTACGGAAGGTTTTTTTAATAACCTTTTTAAACTTGTTTTAAAAGTTTTAATAATATTTTGAGCATTTATGATGTTATTGCAATATAAAACATTTTACAATAAAAAATTACTTTATACTTGTTGATTTTTTCTATATCATGCAGCAAGACCTTTTAGCACTTGTAAAAAATTAGATTAAACTTTAGTTGAAGCTCGTTAATCTGGTTTTAAGAAGTAGATTAAGAAATAAAAGCTCTATCCATTTAAATAATCCAGTTTGATTTAAGTTGATTAAAACTAATTCTACTTTAACACATGCCTAATATACTTATATCTTTTGTGTTATTAAAAGTTTTGTGTTATCAAAAGGTTATAACGAATTATTACTGCAATAATTTAATACTACATATTGTTATTACAATATTGGTACTTTATCTAAAGAAGTGTGGTATTTCTTTTCAATGAAATCGTGCGACATTATTTGAATACATTTTAATAATTAACAAAATGCATTTTTATAAATTAATTATTAGAGTATTTAAAAAGCATCGAAAAAAAAGCACAGTAAAAGTGTTACATTTTTATTCATAAAAATAACAAAATAAAAATAACTTGTAAATGGAATTATGGAAAAAACTTTCTTCCAAGCTTGTAAAAAACAAAAATTCGATTAAACGCAGTAAAGATAATGCTGTCAGTTTTGTTACAGACGGTGAAAAGCAGGGAACTGGTATTAGTATACCTTTACAATCATCCGCTGAAGAATTTCATAGCAAGGTTTTTATCTTTTTTTATTCCTATAAAAAGTAACACATTTCATAACAAGGTTTTGTATCTTTTTTATTCATATAAAAGTTATTTACATAAGTACAGTGTTGTGAATAAATTAAAGGAACATAAAACTTCCAAGTTTTTTTCATAAATTTCTTTTTCGTCTACTTTTTTTTTATTTCAACTGGTTTTATTACTATAAATAACACTTTTACTAAACTATAAATAACTTGTTTAAGATGGCGCCTAGAATAAAAAAAAATGTCATTTTTTAAAATAAATAAAACTATTTTTTATATATATATATATATATATATATACATATATATATATATATACACATATATTTATATATATATATATATATATATATATATATATATATATATATATATATATATATATATATATATATATATATATGTTATACATATATATATATATATATATATATATATATATATATTTTTTTTTTTTTTTTTTTTTTTTTTTTTTTTTTTTTACAACTTCAATATACACTTCATTACGTTACAATTCTATCATATAATTTAATGCAAAGAGTAAAATATATAACATAACATAAGAATACGTAATTTAACAATTATAATAAAATATAACGTTAGATTAATAAACACTGTTTGTTTTTTTTAAATAAAAACTATTGTTTCTTCAAATATAAACATGTTGTTGTAAAGGAGACTCGCAGAAGACTATGAAGTCTTATCATCAAGTACCTTTTCAAATGGTTAAATAAATTTAATTAATTTTTATATATAGTTAAAAGTGGTTAAACAATACACAGTCAGTGATACACATAAACATTTTAGTATAAATCTTGTTGTTAAGTTTAATACATGTCAATAAAATTTTTGTTTAAAGTTTAATACATGTTAATAAAATATAACATATATATATATATATATATATATATATATATATATATTTAATGCAATTTAAAGTTTAATACATGTCAATAAAATATAACATATATATATATATATATATATATATATATATATATATATATATATATATATATATATATATATATATATATATGTTATATATATAAATATATATATATATATCAGTGTTTGGAAAGTTCCTTTTTAAAAGGATCTCGTTCCGTTCCCCGTTCATTTGGTATAATATGAACTCGTTCCAGATCCTCGTTCCTTACCTCAAAAAGGAACTTTTTCCAAATTCCTCAAAAAAAGGAATTCGTTCCAAGTTCGTTCTTTTTTTTTTAATAATTTTTGAATTACTCATTACGAATTACACTAACAACAAAATGGAAGCAAACTTATTATAATTGGTTTATTTTTATTAATATTTTAAAATCTTTTTATAAGTATCTTGTTTTTTTGAAATTTTACTTTTATTTTTAACGGCTCGGCACGTATAGTTACGCATATATAAGCATATATGTTAATTTCAGTTCGAAAGCATAAGAAAAATGTAATTAGAAAACAGTAAAATATAAGAAAACAAATTTAAACTTCAACTTTATTTTGTTTTAACAAAACTAGTTTTTCAAATAATAAATCAATTTATATCTTTTTTCAGTAATTACATTAGACCCTGTTGAAAATAGTCGCTCAACAGGTGCACTTGATGGAAGAGGTGTGTTAAGTTCTAAAAAGGCTTTTAATACTGATGGGTATAATAGTAAAAGAGATAACTCTCTTGACTGTGATTTTTAACTCTTCAATACCAGAACTTGTAACTCTGTTGCTTTTAACAGGTAAACAGAAAAAGTCTTCTTTAAATTCACCTGTAGTTGTACGAGAAGATTCCATTTCACAAGGGCCTGAACTAGACCTATGATCCACACTTTCAAATAAAGATTTTAACGAAGCTTCCGCTGAGAAACGTTTGACACCATCAAGCCATAATAATTTAAAGCGAGGTAACAAACACGATGCTAATATTAGCTCCTTTTTTTCCCATATTGCGCTAAATCGAGTTTGAACAGAAGATTTTACTGCGTTGACAAGCGGACTACAAAAATTCATATTTTTCTGTTGCAAAGTAGTTAGCTTTTTATCTAAAGCGTAAAGCGTAGGCAATAAATACCCCATAAACATTGATTCTTCTCCTTGTAAAAAATCTAAAGAATGGGCAAGTGGAGTCATTACCTCACAGTATTCTTGAATTAATTGAATTTCTTGATTTGTGAATCTTTGTATTTCACAGAAATCCATTATATTGCTCATTTTGTTATGTCCATTAGAGTCTGAAAAAATATTTTTAATTTGTAACAAGCTGTCATAGATACAGTTCCATCTTGTTTTATTAGGAGTTTTTAAATAAACATCTAGTGTATTGTGAATTTTTTCTGCAACTATATTTGACATATTTTGCTTACTCCATAACGATGAACACTTGCCCATTGCTTTCCTATAAAGTTTCTTAAAATTACTAGGTGAATTCTGTACCATTTTCTCAACATCATCTTTTGCTATCAAGTCTAGTGTATGACTAGCACATCTAAAATGTTGTGGTAACTGAACAAGTAAGTCACTCTCTTCTTGTTCGTGACTATTTTTGTCTAAAATGTCATATAAACTCATATTTTCACTGTATAAATCATCATTATCTTCTTCATCATTACTATCCTCGTCATAGTCTGAGTTTTCAGAAACAGTATATGCTTTAAAAGCTTTTACAAAATTTGAGCCACTGTCAGTTGTTGTAGCAACTATCTTGTTTTGTATTTTATAGGATGTATGAACCTTATACAAAGCAGAAGCCAAAACAATATATGTATGCCTTCCTTTTATTCGGCTACAGGCTAAAGATACTGAATGACGCTGAAGAGTCTTTTGATCTATCCAATGACAAGTAACCCCAATATAACTTCTTTTACCTTTACTCCAACAGTCAGCTGTGGTTGCAACATACATAATATCTCCAAGTATTGAAGTAATATTTTCAACCATTGATAAATAAAGGCTATTAATACGTAGTTTTAAAGTTTTACTGCAAATAACTTTTAGGTTTTTAGGAAGGCCTAACTTCACCAAATTTACAAACGATGGTTTATAAACTATTGATAAAGGTTGTGTTTCACTAATAACAAAATTTACAACAAGTTGGTCTAAACCTTTTTGATTTATTTTAAAACTCTCATATCCTTTATCAGTTCCATATTTCTCAAGATTTGATTGCACCGCATCCTTCTTCGCATTCTCCAATGAACCCCATTTTTCTTTTTTAACTGAAGCATTTTTTTTACCTTCTTTTATAGCTTTTTCAAAAGCAGCCATTTTATATGGATGAACTCTCTGAAAATGAAACAAATTTATTTTTTTTAATAAAAAAATTTGAAATTAATTTTTTTTTTTTAACTTTCATTAAATAAATATAAAGTTCATCAGAAATTTTAGCAAATTAAAATGAAATTGCAGCAAATTATTGATGTAAATTATACTAAACATTATGTTTACATAATTTTGCATGCGCTGTTAATGCACAACAGCATCTATTTTAACTACATAATATTTTATTAGTACATAATAAGTAAATTTCAATACTATTTATTAGTAATACATAATAATTACTTAATATGTAATTAACTATTATGTCATTTGTACTTATTTTGTATACATAATATTTTGAAATCTTATCAAAATAATAACCTATAAATTATATTTGAAGACGTTAAAAGATTCACCTAGAAAATAAACATTGATACATAAATTAATCTATTAAAATGTAATAACGTAATGTTATAAAAACATCCTCAAATATAATTTTTAGATTATTTTTTTTAAAGATTTTTAAAAGATTTTAAAATAGAAGGAATGCTTATTTACCTTAACATGCCGTTTTAGATTAGATGATGTATTTTTAGCTGTACTTATACATTTTCCCGAAGGGCCACACAAAACGCATTTTGCATTTATATTGTAACCATTTGCTTTGTTGAATACAAAAAATGACTCTAAACCATTCCAGGGCAAAAACTCACCTGAAAACATTATATAGTTTAATTATTTATACAAATAATTAATATTTTAGTTAAATAGACATTATGACATTAGTTAAGTTCTAAAGTCAAAGCATGTGTAACCGTAATAAACTTACTTAAGAAATACAATTTGCACATCAATAAAATATAAAATAGATACAAAGTAAAAGTGTTTTATTTTTAAACTTACCACCAAGTTCAGTGTCATTATTACTAACATTATCAATTTCAACAACTGAAGTCATATTGCTTACTACAACAGCGTAAAATAAAATTTCTCCTGTATAGTTAGCCTTTTTAAAAAAACTCACGTGTCAAAGTTCGCCTTAAGTTGGCCAAACGTACTATTTTTGGTTCTATGACTAAGTACAAAGCTTTATGTTTTTGAATTGAAGATTAACTTTAACGAAAAGCTTTAATTTTTGACGAATAATTAGTAAATATTTTTTGAGGAACGTGAACAAAAAATAATAAATTTTGGTTCACGTTCCTCAAGAAAAAGAATTCGTTCTCGTTCCTCGTTCTGCTTTATCAATAGGAACCAGTTCCAAGCTTCGTTCCTCAAAAAAGGAATTTGTTCCAGGAATCCGTTCCTTTTGGAACGCGTTCTTCCAAACACTGATATATATATATATATATACATATATATATATATATTATGTTATATATATAATATGTTATATATATATATATATATATATATATATATATATATATATATATATATATATATATATATATATATATATATATATATATATATATATATATATATATTACAATAATAAACTAAATAAATAATGTATAATAACTTTATTTAAGAAACGTCCGTGTGTTATCAGACACACTAGAATACTTTGAGAAAACAATAAGCGTTCGCGATTACCCCACTAAGATCATTCGTTATTTCCCCGCGATCCAACCACGTGTTACAAACTCCATTATTATGATACTTTGCAACAATGTAAATAAACGTGTGTTTTTATATACGTAGTATAGCCAATACATAAATGTTTCGCAAATAAAAATCACATGAAACTAAGAGAAAAACTTAGAATCAATCTATCGTGAACAACCTGCACATCTATACTACATCTATACTACACTACTGCACGTCTGGAACTGAGCATGGAACCCACTCTCGTCAGAAAAAAAAAATTGTCAACTATCCTTTTCTAACATGACGTAACGACCTTGTTTGGAGTTACCCCGCCTTCGCCATTACCCGACTTTCCCCTATATATATATATATATATATATATATATATATATATATATATATATATATATATATATATATATATATATATATATATATATATATATATATATATATATATATATATATATATATATATATATATATATATTTATATATATATATATATATATATATACATGTAATAAATATATATATATATATATATATATATATATATATATATATATATATATATATATATATATATATATATATATATATATATATATATATATATATATGTATATATATATATATATATATATATATATATATATATATATATATATATATATGTATATATATATATATATATATGCTTTGCTTTTTATTACTTTGCCTATAAAGAAAATTCTTTTTAATTTTGCTTATAAGCAGAATCCAGAATTTATAAGATCTGATTTGAACAAGTTTTCTTTTCATTTTTGAAAAACAAAAATGGCGGTTTAAGCAAAAATTGAGAAAGTTAACTAGTTTTAATTAAAATCAAAATTAAATAGAAATAATTAATTTTGGCCAATACTTTATCGCTATAGTTTACTCCTACATCAATAATATCAATAATTTCAGATAATTTTTTTATCTCTTCTTGTCATAAAAATATTTTTTGGCTCGACTTCGGTATCTATGTTGCCTTCAGCAGTATGTTCTTCAATTAGTTTTACATCATCAGTTACATTTATCTTTTTTGAACTTTTCCTTTCTTTAAACGATTAACCTACTTCGACAGAGTTGGATTGGAAAAGGCTGGTTAATTTTAAAATTTTGATAGTGTTTTAACCTTTTGTTCTTTTATTTTTTACTTTTGACTACCACTTAAATATTTCCCATATAACATAATATCCAGACATTTTTAATTATATTTATATGCCCCAAACCTTAAAGATAAATTTCAAAGAAATACAACAAAAAATTTGTTTACAAAAAATATGGATGTGCTTAGATTGCTTTTTAGTGAATTTTAGCGTTAAAAAGTTTTTTGGATTTATATAATATATATTTCCGAATAATAATACAAAATCAACTAAGCTCTTACAGTCTTATTTAATTTGACATCTCGTTTTTGTTTCGCTACTCTTTTTGTTTCGCTGAAATTGCACCCGGATTGCACTGTTTGTAGCTATTTATAAAGTAGGTTTTTGTCTAAAATATTTTCAGTGGTACGTTAGTATATTTTTTATTATCTTATTTCTTAGCGCAGCGCAGGCGGACAATTTTTTGTAGTTTAGTGCTGGGACTCTTTTTCATTGGGGGCCTCTTTTCTCTTGGAGGCTCTAGGCTTCAGTCTACTTAACCTAATGGGAGATTAGTACGCTACTGTACATACATACATACATTCATACATACATAAATATATAAATTTTGAAATACAATTACATATATTATATGTATATATATATATATATATATATATATATATATTTATATATATATATGTATATATATATATAGCTGAACTCTTATAATTCGACCTCCTATAAATCAAAAGATCATTTAAATCGAACAAACTCTTCTTGTAAAGACTCCAGTTACAATTGTTTAATTATTTCCAGTCAGTTTATTTTTTCATAGTTGTCGTTATTCAGGATCTATAGGTTGTTTATTAAAGAAAAGTTTTTTGGTTAGGTTGAAAAAAAATGGAATTTACAATGGAAAACATTTTTTTTATTGTTATTATTTTTAATTTGTAACAATATTTGATATCAAAATTTTATTTTTATAAAAAAATAAAAAATGTTATTAATTAATAGCTTTTTTTTAATAAAAATTAAAAAAGAGCTCCTATTTGTTATTAGGTCAAAAAAATATTCAACTTTTAACTTTAATATTTTTCTGAGTTAGTAGCAAATTGTTGCCAAAAATATAGAAAAATATTTTATAAACTTTCCACTTAGTAATACATAAATAATCATTTTTATAATTTGTACTAGTGGCGGATTAAGACTTCTTGGGGCCCGGGGCTATTTTAGTTTTTGGTGGCCTTTTTATGGGCCAGAGCCTAAAAATGACTTTAAAAAAAAAATGAAAAAAAAAAAAAATAAGGTCCTCTAAAATTTTTTGGGGCCCCTAAATTTGCGGGGGCTTTAGCCCCCTAGCCCCCCTTATTTATCCGGCACTGGTTTGTACCAACTTACGCCACTTTGGAATAAGTTAGCAAACATTTTTTTTGAGGCCACGAAAAGGAACCCCCAAGTTTTATTTATAATGATTACAACTTGAAAATAATACCTAAAGTCATACTCTTCAAGAGTATGACTTTATTTTACCGTTCGAACTACAGAGATCAAAGAGTATAAACAGAGGCAACTTGTGCCGCGTTCCCCTCTCTCAGAGTTGCGGATACAGCGCTTTTTGGTGTTTAAGATTCATAACTTCCAAACTTAGAGCAAGTATTATATATATATATATATATATATATATATATATATATATATATATATATATATATATATATATATATATATATATAATGCTTAAACAAAAAAGAGGGGGTTTCACAGTGATAAACATTTTTATTGCTGTTCATGGTGTTCATTACATTTGAGATATAATATGCTGTTTAAAAAAAAGATTTAATAGTTGATATTGTATAATATGCATATTATTACTATATATACTATACTATATCAACAAATTAAATTTTTTTTTCATTTATAATCGACATTTTTATATTCCATATATGAAATATGAAATTGTGTAATATATACTGAAAAATTTTTGGCAAAAAAAATTATCAATCTATCAACTTCAATATCTATTTCTTTTCAATTTAGTCTCTTGACATTAATGACCTGACTAAATTTGATGTTTCTGCTTTTATCACTTAATGAACAATATTTTAAATCGTTCTCAGCAACACCACAAAGCTATATTTCAGGACTCATAAAGCTATATTTCAGGACTCATAAAGCTATATTTCAGGACTCATAAAGCTATATTTCAGGACTGTTTTTTTATCTCTTTTGAAAATCATCCAGATAATCATACCAGTAAAACATGGCAATAATATAACAATGAATGTTTTAGTAAAGAGTCAGTACGAATAGATAAACGATTTCTTAACCAATGTTACTTATCCGGTATCAAACCTAGGACCTCTTGGTTCTTAGCTAGAACTCTAACCGCTCGACTGCCTTTATCTATCAGATTTGTATGAAAAATGTATTTATAAACATTTTTGATTTATGTTATTTATTATATATTTTTTATATTTATGTCATATATATGTAATTATGTATATACATAAGGGTGTAATAGCTATCAAATTTTTTTTTTTAATTATAATTTATTTAGGTGCCCCAAGAAGACCTAACGGTCTTGTCAAAGAGCACCGCGCAATTGCATTTAACCAGGAAGTTCACGTCTCCTTCCTTTCGTGATGCGAAATATATCCAAAGCTCGTTTCCAACCTGTATCTACTGCTTATAAAGCAAGCGCTCTAACCTTTGCGCCGCGGCAGCACTATAGGACACACATGATAGGACGCATACTATAGAAATGATCCTAGTTAGTATGGTTTGTAAGTATGCTCTCAAATAACTAAGTATTAGTTAAGTAATACTCCAAAACTGTTTTTGAAAACATTAGTGTAAATTTTCTTTAAAATTGATAAAATACGATTGTTTAAAAATACGAATAATTAAATTTTTGCCATCTTATTCAGTTCTCATACAAATAGTTTATTTATGAACCTCCAAATAGCTTGAATGCTTTTTTTCAATACACAGTTGTATTAATGTTAAGATGCCATATCTCTAAAATAACTTGTAGATTTTTTAATAAAGCAAAAAATATATATATATTTAATTTTAAATACAAATACTTTTCCTTAATTAATCATACTTTAGGTCTAAAATTTTGTAAAAAGGTTAATAACATGTTGATTAAGAGGTTTGACAAGAATCACTATGACAACATTTACAAAACTAAAATGGCGGCAGTTTTAATAATGTTTTTTAATTTTTATGTAAAATATGCACTGCTAATATCAGAACTTCAACAGTAGCAAACTTTAAAAACTTTTTTTTGGTCAAATTTCTAAAAAATAATTTAATGAATCTGA